AATGTTTACAGTCTTGTTCTTGTGTACTTGTCGTTTCTGCTCAGGTTTACAGGAGGAGTAGATCGGCGCAGTACAGTGGCAGTGAGTGTGTGTTAACCTGCGCAGAGTGTTGGCTTTTCCGTTTCAGGCCTGGGCTGGCCATGCCAGGGGAAGGTGTGGAGTCCACTGACTCCTCCCAGGGAGCAAAGAGCAGGTGTGTTTCTTCTCCCTGTCAATTCTGGGAGACCAGATGTTGATTTTAGCTGTACTTTTCCCATATCTTCACCTGATAACCTCACCTTTACCTTGAATAATAACCATTTTACACTTGTGAAGGAACTCTTGCATCCTTTTTTTCCCCCCTGAAAGTAAAATGGCTTGGTGAGTGTGGCTTTTATTCTCCCGGGCTGTGTACAGGCAGAGTGCCTTGTTTCACAGCAGTATTTGCTCATAGCCTTACAGTTAGGTTGTTGCTTTTCACGCGACTGAAAACTTTTTTTAAAGCAAGAATCTTGCCTGAAACCAGTTCTCATTATTAAATAAAAACAACCACCTTTTCATGTTGATCTCAGATGATGCTTTTTGGTTTTATTTTGCTGGTTTTCCGGAGATTTTTATCTTCAACTTTCGTGAATGTGGAAAATTTCCATCGTATGTGCAGACAATAGAAGAACAGCTCCCTGTGTTCTCGTTTTCCTTCACAGCCCACAGCAGTCTGCCACTTCTTCTTTTTTATTTTTTTAACCTGTCCCCCTACATTATTTTCTGTAGCATTTTAAAGTAAATCTTGGATTCGGATGATTCAAGAAGAAAGCTGCCTGCAGACTGGATTGTTGTGGGGCCTCAGAGGCTGAGTGGTCCGTGCTCCTGTCTTGATGGCTGTCCGTCTGTCTGGCCTGCACTTGGCAGAGGCTGGTTTGCTGAGTAAGTGAGGAATGCAAGGCCGATCTGAGGCCCTCCTGTTGGAGTTTGTCCGCTCTGTAGCCAGGAAAAAGCATGGATCTTAAACCCCGATGCAGTTGTCTTGGGAATCTTTCCTTGTCTCCTGCCTGTCCTGTGTCTTAGCTGGAACCTGTCTGGTGCAGGACACATCTTGGAACCGAAGGCCTCAGTGTCAGGTGACCACCAAATAAACTGTGGGACACCAAAAAAATCTGCATCTGTAGAGAAAGTCCATGACACTGAGCAAATACTGTATGGCAGAGATTAGATTATGGACAGGCATTAAAATCCTGTTGTTCTCTATGTCTCTATGTTCTCTATGTAGACATAGAAAAATGCAAGGATTGACAGTACCTTTTTTTTTTTTTTTATTTGAAAGGCAGAATTAGAGCAGGAGAGATAGAGAGATCTTCCATCTACTGGTTCACTCCCCTAAATGGCCACAATGGCCAGGGCTGGGCCAGGCAAAAGGCAGGAACTTCACCAGGGTCTCCCACATGGGTACAGGGGCCCAAGGACTTGGACCATCTTCTACTACATTCCTAGGCCCATTAGCAGGGAGCTGGATTGGAAGTGGAGCAGCCAGGACTTGAATTGGTACCCATTTAGGATGTAGGCATTGCAGGTGGCAGCTTAACCAGTTACACCATAATGCCAGCCCCAGGAGTACCTTCTTCTTTTTTTTTTTTTTTTAAGATTTATTTTATTTATTTAAAAGAGTTACAGAGAGAGGTAGAGACACAGAGAGAGGTCTTCCATCTGCTGGTTCACTCCCCAGATGGCTGCAATGGCCAAAGCTGTGCCAATCCGAAGCCAGGAGCCAGTTTTTTCCAGGTCTGCCACGTGGGTGTAGGAGCCCAAGCACTTGGGCCATCTTCTACTGCTTTCCCAGGCCACAGCAGAGAGCTGGATCGGAAGAGGAGCAGCTGGGACTCGAACCGGCGCCCATATGGGATGCCTGTGCTTCAGGCCAGGGCTTTAACCTGCTGCGCCACAGCTCTGGCCCCAGCAGTACCTTCTTAATTTGTGTTTAACTGTCATATCTTTAACAAAAAAGGTGCCCTTTTTATTGCTCTGTTTTCTTTAGAATATGACATTCCTGCTTTTTCTGGCGTGTCTGGCTTCAGGGCTGCACTGAAGTAACTGGGTTATAATTGCCCCTTGACTAGTTTGTTTCAGTAAAATGAATGTCGTGTGCCTTATTTCCTGTCTCTTGCATCAGTCTGTTTGTGAGAGCCTACTGAGAGGTGATTAATGGGAAAGATAAACATATGCTTACTGACTGAAAGTTCATCCTGTTTCCTGAAGCATTTTTGGTTTAGTGGTGTTTGTTGCCCACAGACCACATATGGTGTGTCTGCCTCTATTGTTGTGAACACTGTGTGCCTTTGTGTTGGAGCTGGCTTTTAAAGCAGAGTCAACATATGATAAGGCTTGCACGGTTTTCCTTCACCTGAGATCCCAAGTGACTAGAAGGATTGGACAGCTGCCTGTCACCGTAAGCAGAGCCCATAGGATCTGGAACTCTACGTACAGAAATCCTCTTAGATGGTTTTCCGTCTTCCCCCGAGCTGTGAAGTTGTCCAAAGCATGATTGTGTAGTCTGTGAGCTTCAGACTGCTTGGAGTAGCTCAGCATGAGCAGTCTGGTGCCTGTGGATTCCTGATGTTACAGCACAGTGCTGTCCTGTTCCGGCCCTGTTACCTCCACTGCTGTCCATCCCTGCCAGTCAGGAGCTTTCTCTTGATGTGCCCAGGTGAATAATCTAAGGAGGGAAAAGTCAGCCATTTGTATTTGCTGCAAATATCAATTTGAATTGGAGGGAGAAAAAAAAAAAAAACACCACAACTTTCTCCCAATTTAGAAAGCAACGCTCACGTAGAAATTTTTGGAAATATAGAGAAGGTAGGAGGAGTTGTTTATATTTCCAACAAAGATAACTTACTACAATTAGCATTTTTGGCCTTTCTGTCTAGTTTTTTTTTTTTTTTTTTTTTAGTGCACTGAAGCTTAGTTGCATTAATTTAATCCTATCTACAATGTTATCCTTTCTCCTGAACATAATAGTGTAAAGATTTGTACATGTTTTGAAGTGTATTGGTACTTCTAGAAGCCTTAATTTTCTGCTAAGGAGACATTTTATAATTTAACAATAATTGGTTAGACCATTGTTATGCCACTGTGAACATCTTTGTACAAAAAACATTTTCTGCATATTTACACTAAATTTTACAGAAATGAAATTGATGGATTGAAGGCAGTCAGAGGGAATGAATACTTTGAAGGGTCTGTTGCCATAGACTGCTCCAAAGGGGTGTATCCATTTACTATTCAACAAAAATCAGTTTTTTGCTTAAGATTTGTTTATTTATTTGAAAGGCACAGTTACAGAGAGAGAGACAGAGAGACATCTTCCATCTGCTGGTTCATTCCCCAGATGGCCACAATGACCAGAGCTTGGTGGATTCAAAGTCAGGAGCCAGGAGCTTCTTTTGGGCCCAAGCACTTGGACCATCTTCCACTGCTTTCTCAGTCACATGAGTAGGGTTGGAAGTGGAGCAGCTGGGACTGGATCCAGCGCCCATATGAGATGCAGGCACCACAGTTGGCAGTTTCTCCAGCTGTGCCACAGCTCTGGCCTCCAAAATCCATTCTTCTGGAACAGTTTTGCTTTTCCTGTTGGGGATATATAGTATTCCAGTTATCTGACAAGATAATGATTTAGGAATTAGAAGACATTGAGGGGCCGGTGCTGTGGCTCACTTGGTTAATCCTCTGCCTGCATCCCATGTGGGCGCCGGGTTCTAGTCCCGCTGCTCCTCTTCCAGTCCAGCTCTTTATTGTGGCCTGGGAGGGCAGTGGAGGATGGCCCGGGTGCTTGGGCCCCTGCACCCACATGGGAAACCAGGAGGAGGCACCTGGCTCCTGGCTTTGGATCCGCGTAGCGCCGACCTTAGCGGCCATTTGGGGAGTGAACCAACGGAAAGGAAGACCTTTATCTCTGTCTCTCTCTCTCACTGTCTGTAACTCTACCTGTCAAATAAATAAATAAAAATCTTAAAAAGAGAAGACATTGATATGCCTTTTAGTAAAGTTATGTGCTTGTTCACTGTGAATTGTGACTAGTTTTTCCTTCTGCCTATTTCCCAGGTTATATACAAGTTTCTTTTTTTTTTTTCATTTTATTTTAGCATTTATTTATTTTAGGTTGCAGTAAAAATATGAAAATATCAAATGATGTAAAGTGATCATTTTCAGTAAAAGGCACAGTCGAACATATTATAAAGAAAATTTGTTTTCTTTAGTTTACAATTATACAATATGAGTAAACGTTTTTAAAAACATACTATTTCACATTAATGCCTCAGTAGTGAACGATAAGTTTATTATGACTAAATTTATAGATTCCTATGTCACATAAACAAAATCACAAAAATTAAATGTCTTGTCAAACATTCTTAAATGTATGCTAATCTTTTTTCAAGCATATGCAAGTTCCCTTGACAACGGTTCTATCCTGGTCTCAGTGGCAATCATAAATGTTTGCATTTGGTTCTTTGTACATGTGTTTTCTTTTTTAAAAAAGATTCTGTTTTTAGTTATTTGAAAGGCAGAATGACAGAGGGAGAAACAGGGAGAGAGAGAGAGAGCATGTGCAGAAGAGCAAGAGAGAGACACCTTCCGTCTGCTAGGTCACTCCCCAAAAGGTTACAGCAGCTGGGGTTGGGCCAGACAGAAACCAAGAGCCAAGAGCTCCCACAGGCATGGCAGAGACCCAAGTACTTGGCCGTGCTCCACTGCTTTCCAAGGTGCATTAGCAGGGAGCTGGATCAGAAGTAGAGCAGCCAGGACTTGAACTGGTGCTGTGATAAGAGAAGGCCGACATCTCAAGCAGCGGCTCAACCCACTGCGCCACAGTGCCGGCCCCTGTGCGTGTGTTTCCTAAAACGCCTCCACGTGTGTTGTCTCGCAGGTCAGCCTCCTTTCTAGGTACATTTCATGACTTGGCCCGGGAAGCCTTTGGGAATTTTGGCACTTGAGAATCTGTCTGATGATGCCTTTGTTGTTCTTTTGCACAGATCCAGTCCTGCAGGTCCCAACACATGTGGAAGAGTAAGTTTTCTGATTTTCTCAGTATTTCCCATGAATTCATTGTCTCAGTCATTGAATCAACATTGATAGTGGTAGTTACTGGGAGTACCTCAATGTGTAACTTAAGGCATCACAGGAATGGGTGAGCCATCTAAAACCTTACGGGTGCTGTGATAGACTCCATTCGGGGAGGAGGCAGCCAGTTCCTTGGGAGAGGACAGTCATATTGAAAGGTCCTATTTAAGATGAAACTGAAGTTGACTTTTGAACTTGAACTTCCAAAATCCTCAGGACAACTGGATCTCTCCCTCTTTGCTGTGTACTCATTGGAGGGAAGAGGTGAATGTGACCTGCTGCTGGAGTATGTGTATTGGAGTACACGTAGGACGGCATCAGTTGCAGCCTCAAATGGTGGTGAACCTAAGTAGAGGCAGCTTTCAGCAGGGGGCTCTTAGGGGCCTGTGGCTGCAGTTCAGCAGGTTAATTATACAAGATACCACCTCACGTCCACTTTGCAGGAATCTACCGACAGAGACCTTGAGCCTTCTCCTTGGCAGGCTCTCCAGTGTCAAGCTCTCAGCCTACCTTTATTAATAAATCCCAGTTAAAAAATAAATGCTTGTTGAAACTAAAGGTAGATATACTCTACCTGTTTATGTACTGTGTAATGCTATTAATTGTTGAAGGTCTATACACAATTGTCATGGATTGAAAAGTAGACCTGCTGGCTCCTTTCCACTTACTTTACCTCCATTCATAGTATTTTGAAGCAATAATGATTTATTCTCCCATGGACTTGTATGATTTTTTCCTTTGGAGCTTGCTTTTCTTTACTCAGGTATAGTATATAGCACCTTAGGGTTTTTTATTTATCTGTGACTGAAGCAAATTGTCTTCTAGACCTACACACAACCCACCCTTGCCCCTCCCCTGTCGTGGCTTTGATATTTTGTTCTGTGCTCTGGGCTATAATTTTTCAGTGATACTTAACTATTTAATCTCTAGGCCTGCATTCCTCCCAGATCCTAATGATGGCAGCCTGTATACACTTGGAGGCAAGAATAATGAAGGCCTGACAGTGAGTATATTTAGTTCTTGTGGATATTTTAGAGGTCTAGACCAGCAGTCCTTAACTATTTATGTGGTGAGATCACCTTGGAGTTTGAAAAACAGACTTCCTGGGATTCTGGTTCAGCTCTCCTGGGGTAGGGCCTTGGTATGAGTGTCTTCAGAGCTTCCTACTTGAGCTTTTAAATGTCAGCCAGAGCTCGGAAACACAGGCCGAGACCACAGATTCTCACAGCCCAGGCAGCACACTCCCTACAGCAACAGGCTTTGCTGTGACTAGTGACCCTCAATTTGGGAGGGAAACCGTGGGTTGAAGCACCGTCTCCAGGGTGGGTGTTTGGCACAGCAGTTAAGATGCCATTTGGGGGCCGGCGCCGCGGCTCACTAGGCTAATCCTCCGCCTTGTGGCGCTTGCACACGGGGTTCTAGTCCCGGTCAGGGCACCAGATTCTGTCCCGGTTGCCCCTCTTCCAGGCCAGCTCTCTGCTGTGGCCCAGGAGTGCAGTGGAGGATGGCCCAAGTACTTGGGCCCTGCACCCCATGGGAGACCAGGATAAGTACCTGGCTCCTGCCATCGGATCAGCGCGGTGCGCCGGCTACAGCGTGCCAGCCGCGGCGGCCATTGGAGAGTGAACCAACGGCAAAAGGAAGACCTTTCTCTCTGTCTCTCTCTCTCACTGTCCACTCTGCCTGTCAAAAAAAAAAAAAAAAAAAAAAGATGCCATTTGGGAAGTCTGCATCCCACATCAGAGTGCTGGGTCCAGGTGCTGGCTCCACTCTCAGTTCCAGCTTCCTGGGAGGTGGCAGATGATGACTCAGGTAGCTGGGTCCCTGGCACCCTCGTGGGAGACCCAGATGGAGTTCCTGGCTTCTGGGTTTGGCCTAGCTTTTGTGGGCATTTTGAGGAGCAAACCAGTGGATGGCAAATCTCTCTGTATATTACTTTCTCTATCTCTCAAAAATAAACAAATAAAGAAAGAAGAAAAGAAACACCACCTCCAACCGTGCTACATCAGAGGCATCTTTAGAAGGGGAGACTTGTGTTCCATCCCCACCTCCACTCAAGAATCTAGACCAGTAGTGTTCAACCTCAGCTACACATTGAAGTAAGCTAGGGGACTCCAAAAAAATTCTGAGCATATGTCCCAGTCCCAGAAGGTCGCTATTTAATTGATCTAAGTCACCAGGAATTTTTTAAAGCTCCCCAGATAATTTAGAAATAGGCCCACACCTGCAGTCACCTGATTTATGACAAAGCTGACATTGCAATTCAGTAAAGGAAGAGTAGTCTTTTCAATAAATGGTAGAGGTCAACTTGGGATCGGCATATAGAAAAAAAATTTGGGGGCCGGTGCTGTGGCACAGTGGGTTAACACCCTGGCCTGAAGCGCTGGCATCCCATGTGGGCGCCGGTTCGAGTCCTGGCTGCTCCTCTTCTGATCCAGCTCTCTGCTATGGCCTGGGAAAGCAGTAGAAGATGGCCCAAGTGCTTGGGCCCTTGCACCCACGTGGGAGATCCGGAAGAAGCTCCTGGCTCCTGGCTTCAGATAGGTGCAGCTCCAGCTGCTGCGGCCATCTGGGGAGTGAACCAGCAGATGGAAAACCTCTCTCTCTCTCTCTGCCTCTCCCCTCTCTGTGTAACTCTGACTTTCAAATAACTAAATAAATCTTTTTAAAAAAATAAGAAAAAGAAAAAAATTTTTGGTTCCTACTCTGCACCATACACATGAAAATCAGTTACAGATAGATCGTTTATCTAGATTTTAAATGCAAAATAATAAAAGTTCAAAGAAAATAGTAGTGGATGGGGCCGGCGCCGTGGCTCAATAGGCTAACCCTCCGCCTTGCGGCGCCGGCACATCGAGTTCTAGTCCCAGTCGGGGCACCGGATTCTGTCCTGGTTGCCCCTCTTCCAGGCCAGCTCTCTGCTGTGGCCAGGGAGTGCAGTGGAGGATGGCCCAAGTACTTGGGCCCTGCACCCCATGGGAGACCAGGAGAAGCACCTGGCTCCTGCCTGCGGATCAGCGCAGTGCGCCGGCCGCAGCGCACTGGCTGCAGCGGCCATTGGAGGGTGAACCAATGGCAAAGGAAGACCTTTCTCTCTGTCTCTCTCTCTCACTGTCTGCCTGTCAAAAAAAAAAAAGAAAGAAAAAAAGAAAAAGTAGTTGAGGGGCTGGCACTGTGATGTATTGGGGTAAGCTGCTGTCTGCAGTGCTGGCATCTCATAACGGGTGCCGTTTGAGTCCTGGCTGCTCCACTTCCATTCTAGCTCCCCTTTAATGTGCCTGGAAAAGCAGCAGAAGATGGCCCAAATACCTGGGCCCCTGCACCCATGTGGGAGACCCGGCAGAAGCTCCTGGCTTCTGGCTTTGGATCAGCCCAGCTCCAGCCATTACAGCCATTTGAGGAATGAACCAACAGATGGAAGATCTCTCTCTCTCTCTCTCTCTCTTTCTGTTTCTCTCTCTCTGTAGCTCTGCCTTCAAATAAGTAAAAGTAAACCTTTAAAAAAAAATAGTGGGACAGTTTTATGACCTTAGAGTAGGTAAAGATTTCTTAAATAGGATATTTTTAAAAACTTAACACTAACCATAAATTTAGGGAAAAGTTGATATAATGATTATATTAAATGTATGACCTTTTCTTCAATAAGAGGCCACAAAGTATTTGCAGTCCAGATATCTAACCAAGGATTCATATTCAGAATATATGAATTAAAAAAAAGCCCAACAGAGTAACAGGAGAGGATATCCCGATGGTCAGTGCACATATGAAAAGGTGCACAGCTTTGTGAATTTCAGAACAGCAAGTTAATATCACAGTGCCATCCTGCTACCCAGTGTCTCAGGCTGCCAGCCGTCAGAATGGTGAACAGAACAGTAGGAAAAGAAAACCGTGTCGGCAGGGATGTGTAGCATCTGGGGCTCCTTCGCTGCGGGTGAAGTACAAATGGGTCCGGCTGGTTTGGAAAACTGTTGGCCGTTTATAGGAAAGTCCTCGAGAGCCTGAGCCACCCTTCAAGGTGATTACCCAACAGAAATGCATGTCCGAAGAGACTTCAAAAAGTTCATGGAAAAATGGAATTAAAAAAGTTGAGTTAATAATTGTTATACTTAATAGATATTTTGCAATTAAAAGATAATTATACATCTATGACTATACACATTTTAGATCTGTCTCACAAGCATAGTGTTGAACAAAACATGATAGACAAAACAGGCTACTGAATGATTCATTTATATAAAGCAAAAAAAACAGGAAAAACTTGTCCATGCTGTTTTGAGCTTAGGATAATAGTTACCCCGGAGAGTGATGGCTAGGAAAGGAGAAACGAAGGGGCTTCCAGAGTGCTACAAATGCTCTGCTGCTTTATCCGGCTGCTGGCCCCGTGGGTCCATTCACTCTGCAGAGATTAGCTGAGCTGTGTGATTCTGAGGGCTTTTCTGTTTGTGTTCTGCTGCCATAGAAAGTTGAAAAAGCCTGCAAGGGACTCTGATGTGCAAACCAAAGATGAGAACCAATGTAAGTGGATTGTGTCCTCTGATGCAGGTATTTTAAAATAATTTTATAAATGTCTAGGACTGAAAGAGATGGGAGAAAGGGCAAGCCTGTGTCGAGCTGTGGCCTCTTCCCCGCCAGCCTTTCTCTTCACAGCTTCCTCTCCAGTGATAGACTCCATTTCTTAAACACTTTGCTGGAAACTGTTGAGTGACGTGTGTAAGTCATGTCACTTGGTGTTGTCTGCATCCCTGGAGGTGTTAGCCCCATGTTAGTGGTGTGGAAATTGAGCCTGGAGTCACCAAGAAATGTGCACATTCATGCTGGATGCTGGAGTGGGGACTTAAGCAGGCCTGACTCCCAAAGGATGCTTGCCCTTAACCACTGCCTGCTCTCCTTCCTTGGTTGTGGTTTAGCTCCAGAAACAACATGTTTCCTGGCTTTGGCCTTGAACCTGGAGAACTGTGGCAGTGCCCAGCCAAGACCACAGGACTCCAAACCGGAAGAATTTGCAGGGACCTTCTGGTTCTCACAAACACCTGGCAGAAACCCAGTCCTTACAGCCTCTCTGGCACTTCTCTTCCAAAGCTCAAGTTTGAATGTTGGGATGATGGAAAAACCCAAATCATTGATTAGCATTAAAATTCTGTTGTGAAAGCTAGAGAAAAATCTTTTCCTACTTGGAGGAAAGGGTAACAGTGTAGTAGAAACCTGGAGTTTCTGTAAAAGCATGTATCTTTAGAACAGTTTCGAGAACACAGAATGTTCCAGAAATAAAGTATACTGAAACAAACATTGACCAAAAAGGTCTTGTCAGATGTCAGCTGCAGACTGAGGAGAGTCAGCTTTATGATGAGATGCAGTTGAAACACTTGGATTCCTTTGAGTTTCTTTTCCTGGCATCTACCATAACTTCCTTTTTAAAACTGAAAGCCTCCATTTTCTTCTCTTTTACAGTAGAGAATTATTTACTGAAGAAAGCATCAAAACTTCTTTTTCCTCCTCAAACTTTTGTGTTGTCCATGTCCTGATGACTTCCGCTTTCCCTCAAAGCTCAAGGCTGGGTAGCAAGATGGTTTATCTTCGCGTTCGTGTCCTGGCTTCTTCCCACTCTAACAGTTGTGTCATTTTCCTCAGCCTGGCCATCTCTGGGTAGCAAGATGGTTTATCTTCCGTGTTTGTCTCTTGGCTTCTTCCCACTCTAACAAGTTGTGTCATTTTCCTCAGCCCAGCCATCCCCGGGCCAGTGCTCACTTCTCTCCCACCTTTAGGGTTTCAAAGACTGTGTAAGTCGCTGTATTTGTTCAGTCTTTCCAGAAAAGGCTTGTGTCACCCCTGGAAAGTGCTCCAGGCCGGAGACCTGGGGAGGCCTCCACATCTCTTGTCAAGTAAACAAATTAGAGTTTAAAGAGCACAGTGACTTGGGAGCTCAGGGCTTATTGGAATTTTGTGGAAGCCTAGCATAGCCACCGGCCAAACCTGGTTTCTAATTAGTAAAACTCCCATCTGCCAAAGGCTTCTCTCTTTTTAGCAGAATTTGGTAACGAGAAAGACTGCCCAATAATTGGAATCATTGCACAAGATCTGGTTAACTCGTTTCTCCTTTTTTTTTCTTTAAAGAAACTTCCCTTTACAATCCCGGAGTTGGTACAGGCATCCCCGTGCCGAAGTTCCGACGGCATCCTTTACATGGGTAAGGCTCCCTGTTTTCAGCACTGAAACTTGTATCTCTTTGACAATGAATCCTGGAACCTGCAGAAGTGGCCTGTGGTGATGGACGATGCCAACACCCTGGCCTGGGAAAGGCCTTTCTTACCGTGGTTGTGCTGCGAGTGCTGCTCATGCTAGGATCAGCTGATCAATTGAGAAGGGGTCCCCCAGCCTTGGAGAAGAAGTGACACCATTAATATTGTTACTCACTTAGCAAGCTTTCAGCTGCTCTGTTGACCTGCTCCTGTGATTTCGACATTGCGACATACACAGCTGCAACTGGATGAAACTTAGTGAATACAATAGTCTGAGCCAAGAAAGGGAAGCCAGGCTCTGCCTATTAATTATAGAGCTTTCTTAGTATTTCCTGCTATCAGAATATTTGGTAGAAACAGCACTTAACAGCTTGCCTAGATAAGCAGCCTTCATACCTATGGGGCCACAGCTTTCAAAGCGTCAGATCACCTGCTTTTCTTTTACCATGTTGCTGCCAAAATGTCAATAAAAATGCATTTGTAGCACAAAGGAGACCTCTGTTTATCTTGAAATCAGAGGAGTAATAATAGCCTGTATTTATGTAGCAGCTTTTTTTTTTTTTTTTTAAAGGAACTGAAAGTGCTTATTGCCTGTTCACGTCTCAGCAGCTTTAAGTGTCGTCTGGGTCTCAGGTGCAGGCCGGCTTTTGAGTTTTTGCTAAGGACGTTGGGGCTCTTGCTCCCATCCCCTTCAGAATGAGGAACCCCAGCCTAGAGATTCCGCGGAAGTGGATTCCGCGGAAGTGGTCAGCACAGGCTTTCTCTTGCCTCTTGGCCGTTCCGTGGGCTCATCCATGTCCCTGGTTCCTATCTGGTCTTCCAGCTTTTGCCGGTGATTCATCACTTAAAATCTGTTTAGGATATTGTGTTTCCATCATCTCTGTGTGTTGCCCCTAAAGAGAGTTCATTAAGCATATTTAAGAGCATGAAGGTTGCTCGGTCCATCCATTAAAGTGGTAGCTAGGCCGTGCAGGCTGCACAGATCCTTGAAATAACCAGGTATGTGTCATGCCAGATAGGAAGGGCTCACGGACCCAGCGGTTTGGTGACATTTCTGCTCTATCTGCAGATCTAATCATGTTAAGATTTTATCATTGAGAACAGAGATACAATCCGCGGACAAGCTGTACACATGTGAATAGGCTTGCAAGCTGAACCTGTTAGAACTAAGTGTATGTAGCTTTGGCAGATTCTAGTGTCCCGTGACCTTCCCCCAGCATCTCAATTTTCTGCTTCCAAGAGTCCCTGGAAGTAGGAAACTTTTCCAGTAAGTTAGGAAGACCTGGGTGGTGAGAGACCATGCCATCCAAAACAGAAATACACACATCACCGTGAGTATGTCAGCCTTGGGGTCAGAGGCCTGCACTCCTGACCACCACTGTCAGGAAGCGCTGGAGTATATACCATGGATACATATGCTGTGGGTTTTCCTAATTGTGTTGTTTGGCTGTGTGTCCAGCTGTTCATATCTTTTAGTCAGCAGACTGAGGTAAGGGGAATGGCTTGTGACCGGGGAGTAACTTACTGGCTGTGGACAGAGGCTGAGATAACTTTGGCCTCATTAGCATCAGGTTGCAGTGGACCGGTCACAGGTACTAGCTAATTATACTTACAAACAGTAACTGTAGAGCCTATTCACAAGTGGGCTAATTAGTAGGATGTTGAGAAATATGAATGATGGTTACCAGGGAGATGAAGCCCTGGGTACATTTCTGTTTGTTTTCATTCTAGTCCGTGGGAAAAGGCTTGCCCTTTACAGACAAAACTTCATATTTAGGACCACTAGTCAAAGCAATAAAGGCTAACTTGAAAGTTTAGAGGATCTTAAAAAAAAAAAAAAAGCTGTAATTAGGCTCATTAGGTCTAGAGAGAGCTTAATTCTATGATTAGGTTATTAAATTATTAGAAGACCCAGTAGCCCAAGAAGTTTTATGATCTCCACATTACTGTTTACATTGTGGCTTTCAGAGCATCATAGAAATATCTTCAGTTTCCTAAGAATTGCAGGTCCATCCCTCTCAGAACAGAACATCTTGGCTGCTTGTTTGTCAGTGATATTTATTTATTACACCCACATAGGATGGGTGTAAACAACAGGGTGTCCTTGTGATCTGCCAGGTAAAAAGCAGGACATCTGGTACGTCATCGATCTCCTGACCGGGGAAAAGCAGCAGACTTTGTCATCGGCCTTTGCAGACAGTCTCTGTCCATCAACTTCACTTCTGTATCTTGGGCGAACAGGTAAGAAGTAAACCTTTCTCGGGTTTAACTTGCCCGTCTCCACAAAGGACCTTAAGAAGCTTCCCCGCTGGTCTCTGCCTCCAGAGCTACCTTCTCCAAACACAGGTCTGATCACGCCATTCCCTCTCCTCCTGCACCCCGCTTCGAATTTATTTATTTATTTACTTGAAAGCAGAGTGGCAGAGAGGGAGAGACAGATGGAGATCTTCCATCTGCTGATTGATTCCCTAGATGGCTGCAACAGCTGGGACCAGGTAAGGCCAGGAGTCTGGAACTCCATCCATCCGGATGGCAGGGGCTGAAGTACTTAGACCATCCCCCGCAGCTTTCCCAGGCATTTTCGCAGGGGTCTGGATCTGAGGCGGTTAAGACCTTTCACCAGCCCCCTTATTGGCCAAGGGATTCAGTGCACACTGCACCAGGACCCACAAAGCAAGCCCCTGTGATGCAGCTGCTGCCTCTCATACCTGATCCCTCCTTCCATTCTCCTTACAGAAAAGTTTTTCAATTAGAATGAACCACTGGCAGTTTCCAGAATAGCTTGATTCTTTTAATTTACTTTTAACGATTTATTTATTTATTTGAAAGAGTTACAGAGATTGCCAGTGCCGCGACTCACTAGGCTAATCCTCCACCTGTGGTACCGCACACCAGGTTCTAGTCTTGGTAGGGGCGCCGGATTCTGTCCCGGTTGCTCCTCTTCCAGTCCAGCTCTCTGTGCAATGGAGGATGGTCCAGGTCCTTGGGCCCTGCACCTGCATGGGAGACCAGGAGGAAGCACCTGGCTCCTGGCTTCGGATTGGTGCAACGCACCAGCTGTAGTGGCCACTTGGGGGGTGAACCAATGGGAAAAGGAAGACCTTTCTCTCTCTCTCTCTCTCTCTCTCACTGTCTAACTCTGACTGTCAAAAAAATAAAAATAAATAAAGAAAAAAGAAAGAGTTACAGAGAGGGAGAGAGAGAGAGAACGAGAGAGAGAGGTCTTCCATCTACTGATTCACTCCCCAGATGGCTGCAGTGGCCAGAGCTGCGCTGATCTGAAGCCAGGAGCCAGGAGATTCTTCTGGTCTCTCACACGGAGGGCAGGGGCCCAAGGACTTGGGCCATCTTCTGCTGCTTTCCCAGGCCATAGCACAGAGCTGGATCATAAATGGAGCAGCCAAGATTTGAACTGGTGCCCGTATGGGACGCCAGCATTGCAGGCGGTGGCTTTACCCACTATGCCACAGGGCCAGCCCCATCATGATTCTTTTTAAAAACAGAAGGAGCTGTGTCTCCCCACCAGGAATGCCTGTTTTTGCCTATCTGACAAATGTCCTTTTTTCTTTCACAACTCTGCTCAAAAGCCAGCTTCTTTGAGAAGCCTTTTCCCTAGCCTCAGCTTCCACCCTGGTCAGGGTGTCCAGGTCTCCTGGAGGCTCAACGTGGCAGCTTCCAGGCCTGTGGCAGCAGCCATCTCGCCCCCCTTCATTGTCCCTTTTCAGACAGGAGTCCTTCACCACCACCCCGTCTTCTGTTCCCACTTGTGTTAGCCTTCTTCATGCTTGTTACCACATATTTGTGCATCTTGTGTGCCTGTTTTCTGCCTTCCCCACTGGAACATCAGACTCCGCTTCACCTGCCGTGTCTCCCCCGGGCGTGTCGCCTGACAAGTAGACATTGCCCAGATGTTTGAGTGAGTGAATGGTGAGCCCTGTTCCTGCAGAGAATCTGCTTTGTTCATTTTCACATGTGCAGCAACACACATGTACCGGGGAGGTCACAAACCCTTTCGGCAGTAGTTGAAGCCAAAAGGAGAAACAAGGAAACGTTGAAGAAGATCATGCCCCAAACCTGGGATAAATTATTCTGCTTGAACACTAGACTTAGATCTAAGTATGCAGGTAACCAAGACTTTTAGAAGAGAGGCAGCCAGCCTTGCTTCAGGCGCTGTGGCAAACAGAGCTGTTCTGCAGACCTGGGCCCTGCTGAAGCTGGCCGGGCTCTCCTGGACCTGGCAGGAAGGGCTTGGACCCAAGGCTCTCCTCTGCTCCAATAAAAGTCCCAGTATTCCAGCTCGCTCCTGTAATGACTGCTTTGAGATTTGTTTGTCTGTCATTTCCGTGAAGTAAAAGCTTACTGTGGCTCCCCAGCTTCATCCAGGTATAAAATTGGTGGTTTTCAGGTAGAATTGTGGTGTTTGAGGAGTTGGGATGTGTTGTGCTTTCAGATGAAATGTATGGCCCTAGGTTTGTAAAGCTGCTGTTTCCATTATCTGCTGCTGTTTAACAAAGCACCCTGGTGCCTTGAAACAACCCTCACTTTCTTGTTCATGATTCCTGTGGGTAGGGAATTCAGGAAGAGCCCAACAAGGAGGGATTGTCTGTATTTCACATGCTATTGTTTGGGCGCACTCATGTGTCTAAGACCTTGGACTACTTTTACTATTTTTTTTTTTTTTTTAATTTAAAAAGAGAGCACTCTCTCATCTGCTGGTTCACTCCCCAGATGTTCACAACAGTCAGAGGTAGGCCAGACTGATACTGGGAATCAAGAACTCAATCCAGGTCTTCCACATGGGTGTCAGGGACCCAATCTCTTGGTACCCAAAGTCTTTTTGGGTTTCCCATGTATCAAATTATAGTCTGCTCCACTAAAATAAAAGTTAGGGTCTGGCATCAAAATGTGGCATCCCATATTGTAACACTGACATCTCATATTGGAGCACTGGTTTGAGTTCCAGCTGCTTTACCTATAATCCAACTCCCTGCTAATATACCTGGAAAAGCAGCGGAAGACGACCTGAGTACTTGGGCCCCATCACCCATGCCAGAGACCAAGATGGGATTCCTGGCTTCTGACCTTGGCCTTGGCTGTTGTAGCCATTTGGGGAGTGAGCCTGCAGTTGGAACATCTTTCTAGCTCTTTCTCTCGCCCTTCCCCTCCTTCTTCCTTCCCTGCCTTCTTCTCTATCACACGTTCAAATAAATAATTCTTTAAAAAAAAAGATAAAGATTGTACCCACAAATCCCTCTAATTTGGATTGTGAGAGGTTCTGTGAGGTGCCATCTTAAGTCTTTCTAAAGGTTTCAGAGAAGGATCTCCTAGCCTCACCCTTGATTTTATCTGAACCCTGATCTGAAGTTGTGTTTCACTGGCACTTTCCTGGGTTTGGTCTTTGATCTAAGGCCATTTTTTCCCATTTGGGAATCTTTTCCAACTGGAGAGTTATGTACTTCCTCTAAATTCTGCTTGAAAACAGAATGGATTCTGCTGTGGGTCATGGTCTTGCAGTGTTTCATATACAACCAGGGAAACCATTCAGCATGCCTTCTGCCCGGAAGTCTCCCTAGTCAGCTTCCCGAGCTCATTAGACACGTTTTCTGTCGTTCACGTTTACTGCAGTACAGTGCCACTTTATGTAAACCATATGCCAGTCACCTCTTTTCAGCTTCCAGTAAGCGTTTCCTCACTGCTGTTTTTGAAGTCTCCACTAATAGTCATCTTAATTGACCTTTCATCCTCCACCTGCCAGCTGGTCCTGAAGTCTGTGCCACATGATTTAGGTTTTTGTTAGGCACCATTCCACTTCTAGATGCCAGCTTCCGATATCATTGGTCTAGAGCTTTGCGATAAACCATCCCGGAACTTAGTGGCTAGAAACAGCCCTTCCACTGCTCACAGTTCCGTGAGCCGTGAGTTCAGGGACACAGCAGGGGCAGCTTGTGTCTGCTCCTCGTGCTGTTGGCCAGATCTGCTCGTGTGCCTAGGACTGTAGTTCTCCGTGTGGCCTTTTTCTTTGCACATGAATAGCCTGGACTTTTATTATTGTTGTTGTTGTTGTTGTTATCATTGATCTCATTTTATTTAGAAGACAGACAGAGGGAGATAGTCCATCTGCTGTTTCACTTTCTAAATACCCACAACAGCCAGGACTGAGCCAGGAGCTCATCTCTGCATCCTGGTCTCCCACAGGGGTGGCAGGTATTTGAGCCATCATCTGCCGCCTTCCAGGGTGTGCATTAGCAGAAAGCTGGATCCGAAGCAGAGTGCCTGGGACTCCCACCAGGCTCTCCAGTACGCGACACAGATGCCCCAAGCAGCAACTTAAGTCACCACATCAGTCACCTGCCCCACCTAGACTTTCTGCTGTGCAGTTTAGGGAGGATTTGGTTCTTGTAATTATATGAGGTAGGGGCCAGCACTGTGGCGTAGCGAGTAAAGCTGCCGCCTGCAGTGCCAGCATCCCAACTGGGTGCCGGTTTGAGTCCTGGCTGCTCCACTTCCGATCCAGCTCTCTGCTATGGCCTAGGACAGTAGTAGAAGATACCCCAAGTCCTTGGGCCCCTGCACCCACGTGGGAGACCCAGAAGTTCCTGGCTCCTGGCTCCAGAGCGGCACAGCTCTGGCCATTGCAGTCAGTTGAGGAGTGAACCAGAGAATGGAAGACCTCTCTCTCTCTCTGACTCTCCTCTCTCTGTGTAACTCTTTCAAATAAATAAATAAATCTCTAAAAAAATCATATGAGGTCAACACCTTCGTAGATGCCATGACCTCTCTGTGGTAACAGGCTGGTCTGTGTTCTCCAGAATATACCATCACCATGTATGACACCAAAACCAGAGAGCTCCGGTGGAACGCCACCTACTTTGACTACGCAGCCTCACTTCCTGAAGATGACATGGACTACAGTAAGTGCTCCGGGTGGGGCTTGCAGGGGCAGGCTGAGCTTTCTACCTGTGTGGAAATAGTCGGTCCAGAAAGGAGGACTTGGTGGTTAGAGAAGGGGACGAGGCACCTTGCTGCATTCCTTTGTGTCACAGAAGGAGTTTATTACAAGCCCGTAGAGAAGAGAATTAAACACCAGCACATGGCGTTCCCAGCCCCAGCACATGGCGTTCCCAGCCCCAGCGTCAGAGGGACACTCTGTTGCTGCGGCGCATCCCGCACTCATTTCCCCGAGTTAATGAAGCTGCAGTTCTGGCAGTGTAGCACTGCTGTCTGCAAGCCTGCCTGCCTCCTCTGAGCATTTTTGTGCATCTCTGAGCTCTCCTTTGTGATCTGCTGAGGGCAGTGTCAGCGGCTCAGGCCACTTGCTAGGTTTTCAGTTTGAATAATGGGTTTGAACGATTGCTGTGAAATGCTGGGTGGCTGTTTCCCATGGCTGCTCTCTTCTCAGCGTTTACTCTCACTTATTGAATAAAATGGTGAAGATCATCACCGACGAGATTGCCTTTGCGAGAGTGATGTTTACAAGCCGGGCAGCTCTCAGTGTCTGCTGTTTTAGAGACTGAGTTCATTGGAAGCAAGGGAAACTGTTTAAGGAGATCTGAGAATACTCCAGAAGTCTCATTTCCCCTGAGAGACGGCTGCTTGTCAAGAGAGTAGAGGATGTGGTTGCACGCCGGGGTGAGACTTCACACGCTGTCTTCCTTTGATCTGTACAGAGATGTCCCACTTTGTGTCCAATGGCGATGGGCTCGTGGTGACCGTCGACAGTGAATCTGGAGACGTCCTGTGGATCCAAAACTATGGCTCCCCTGTGGTGGCCTTCTATGTGTGGCAGCGGGAGGGTCTGCGGAAGGTGATGCACATCAACGTGGCCGTGGAGACCCTGCGCTACCTGACCTTCATGTCTGGGGAGGTGGGGCGCATCACCAAGTGGAAGTACCCGTTCCCCAAGGAGACGGAGGCCAAGAGCAAGCTGACGTGAGTCGGGGAGCTCAGGGCAGCTGCACCCCTGGTGCTTCGGCACTGCTGCAGCCAGCCCACCTGTATTGGAGGCCAGGGGTCGGGCAGACATCTGAAGCCACAGGAATGTCAAGGGCCAGACAGGCTCATTGGGACACCTCAGGATGTAAGGACTGGTGGGCACCCCGTGGGCTCCGGAGTTCTTGAATGAGAACTGTGAATCATGGATGAAGACAGGAGGGAGGCTTGCTGATAGAACTCTAGTACAGGCACTAGGGATCCTGACTTTTTTTTAACTTTCTGTATTTTCTGAGTTCTTACTGTGAATGATACTCATTTTAAAAACGAGGAAAAACGTGTTCCAGTGTGCTTGTGTCCAAGACCCAGTAGGCCGTGTTCCCTGTCTCCCCGAGAGTAGCCTGTAATGTGCCAAGCCTCGGGTTCCTGCTCTACAGAGTTGTGAGGAAGATCATATAAGATGATGTGTGTGAGGTGTTGCCTAAGCTGTTCACACAGAAGGTGTTTGTTGAGAGGGAGTTCAGAGGGCTTGGTGGGGGACTGATCCCACACAGGCTGCGGCAGTAACCAGGAGAGCCTGGAGGTGCAGCTTCCACTGTGTCTGAGCCACGACCCCATTCTCTCCCAGTGCCTCAGGCAGGGCCAGACCACCCAGCTCAGGCAGCAGGAATCTTACCTAGTTTGGAATTTCTTTCATATCCCTTTGTCTCAGCATCTAGTTGCCTGTCATTGGGGCTTCTGCGGAACCTACGGAATCCCTGCAGAGCACGGATAGAATGGTGGTGATGCCGGGTAGCCTGGGAGAGGGGTGCTGGCTGGACAGGGTCATTGGAGAGGCTTTGGCAATGTTAAGCATTCAGTCCTCTGGAGGTAGTCCTACAGGGCACTGTGGGCCTGGTCCAGTTCAACCCTGCCATTTTCAAGATGGGCAACCTGAGGCTTGCCACTAGGTGGCTTGTCCATGTTTCAGAACACAGTAGGTAACGCTGGCCTTGAAGTCCTGCTGTCTTATTCCCAGGCATCATCCCTGCCTTCACACCCCTACTGCTTTCTCCACGCCAGGGAATTAGTGCAGTTATTCCTGGGAGTGGTATCTGGTCCTATGATTCTTCTCTCCAAAAGCCCCCACCTCTGTGGGATTCAGAAATTAACTCTGGAATGCATGCATCTGTTTTCTCCCTAGGCCCACTCTGTATGTTGGGAAATACTCAACCAGCCTCTACGCCTCCCCGTCAATGGTACATGAAGGGGTTGCTGTCGTGGTAAGTCCACTATGGGACACTGGCTCCCAGCACAGCCTGCTAACCACTGTGTTTTTGCAAAGAATGATTGAGTCATATGTGAACATCCTGCTAGTTGTAGATGCAAAACACAGATCTTGAATTCTCAAAAATAGTTTGTGTACATAACCACATTCTCCTTTGTAAAATCATTTATTTATTTATTTAAAATGCAAAGAGACACAGAAATCTTCCATCCACTGGTTTTAAGTGATCTACGTTGTGGCATATCGGTTAAGCCTCCTGTTGCAATGCCAGCATCCCATATCAGAGTGCCTGTTTGAGTCCCTGCTGTTTCTGATCCACCTTCTGCCAAGGTGCCTAGGAAGGCCATGGAAGATGGCGTAACTATTTCGACTCCTGCCATCCGTATGGAATCCAGGATGGGCTTCCTGGCTCCTGGCTTTAGCCTGGCCCAGACCTACCTGTAGTGTCCACTTGGGAAGTGAACTAGCAGACAGAAGCTCTCTCTCTTGTGCTCTCCAACACTGTGCCTTTCAAATAAAAAAAAATAAAGAATATTTTTATTTATTTGAAAAGCAGAGACACACAGAAATCTTCCATCCATTGGTTTATTCCCCAAATGTCTGCAGTAGCCAGGGCTGGGCTGGGCTAGGCTGAAGCCAGGATCCAGAAACTCATTCCCTAGTCTCCCATGTGGGTAGCAGGAATTCAGCTACTTGAGCCATCACTGCTTCAGGGAGCTTGAATTTGAAGCAGAGGCACAACTCAAACCAGGCACTCCATCGGGGATGCAGGAGTCCCAAGAGGCATCCTGACCACTGCCTCAAATGTCCACTCCGCGTTCTTAGAGACATGGCGGAAGCAGCCCCGAAGTCCAGGAAGCCCTGGTTACTGCCCTTTTCTTTTATGTTAAAATCTCAACTCCACAGGTCCTTCCTCTTCAAGCCAGGTCCGCGGTGACCTCCCACTGCCCTTTAATTTCGCCGTAAGAGTTGCACAGTCCAACCAAATGCATCTTCCCTCGGACTTCCAAATGTCCCCTGCTGATTTTCTTGCTTTTACTTGGGCTGCTCTCACACTTCAAATACCCTTCCTTCCCTTTCCCTCCTCAAATCCTTTCCATTCTTTGGTGACTCATGGGTGCCTCCCCGGACCTCACCAGCCTGCCTTGAGCAGGCTGAGTGTCTGAATGTCTGAAGCAATGTGATCCTGGCCACTGGTCTTGATCCTCATTAGTGTCTGGACCATTCAGTGGTATCTTTTGTCTTCCCCATGAGTTTGTCAGCTGCTCCCCCAAGTAGGACAGTGCCCGCCTCAGTGGGAGCTCCAGCAGTGCCTGTACCAGCTCTAGGCATGTGACTGCAAGTTATTCCACCCTTATTAAGTACATTGATTGTGGCTACTAGACACCGCTTGTTTTCCTTCACTTAAATCTGCATCTCAGAACAGCTCCCTGGACTTGGGTTCACTCACCTTCTGTCCCCCGGCACCCAGAACTGGGATCTAAAGTTGTCCGTGTTAAAAGATGCCAGTGCAGGCTTGTCACATCCTGGGGGAGGAGCTTCTCTGGCCCGTCCTAGGGCTCTGTGTCCTTCCCTGCCCGGACTAGCCCCACACTAGCAATTGCTTACCTGGGGGCAAGGCAGTTCCTGCGGGCTCAGCACTGTGGCTGGGAATGTGTGTGGGACTGATGAACCTGCCCTCCCGAGGGCCTCCAGGCTCACCTCAGCCCTCTCTCCACAGCCCCGAGGCAGCACTCTTCCTTTGCTGGAAGGCCCCCAGACCGATGGTGTCACCATAGGGGACAAAGGGGAGTGTGTGATCACGCCCAGCACGGACCTCAAGTTTGACCCCGGACTCAAAGGGAAAAACAAACTTAACTACTTGAGGAATTACTGGCTTCTGATAGGTAAGAGTTGTTCTCTGCTGATAGTCTCAGGTGATGGTATACTGCCTCCTGGTGGGCAAAAGCCGGCCCTGCTGGCTTGCACCATTCTTAATTCTGAACATATTGTGCTCCATGCATGTCCAAGCTCATTGTTTAGACATATTTACCCCCAAGGAGAATAAACAGGACTGCTTGTTACCAAGGCAGTTCTCAAAGTTGTTGAATGTTCCCAGACTCAAGCATCACGTGATGTAAACTGTGTAATTATCTGATACAGTGAATGTCAGTTATGTTCCAGCCTTGGCACTAAGAGCTTTAGAGTACATTTCCTTTTTCTTCAGAGACCCTGTGTGAGGTCAGTGTCCAGTTAATAGTTAAGGAGACCGAGGCCATTTCTATGGAGGAATTCACTTAGGCTTGGTGTGGGCTTAGTAGAGGGCAGGAGGCAGGCGGGGGTTGGGAGAGGCTGAAGAACCAGGAGGGATTGAGAGTTTGTGAAGAGCCACAGGCTGGCCATGGGTTCTGGGCAGGATAATCCCAGGTATGAATGGGGAAGTCCCTTTGTTTCCTTCCTCTTCCTTGGTTGCTGCCTTCACTAATGACCCTGGGGTTGACCAAGAGGCCCAGTTCTGGAGAGCAGTCAGAAGTCGAGGTGACACCCAGAGGCAGGAGTGAGAGACGCTGTGTCTCTAGCAAGCGTCCCAAGTATCAGAGCTCATTGACGTTGTCGTGCTTCCTGTGCCCGCCCACTGATCCTGCTGCCTTCTATGGCTGAGAGCTGGTGAGGGAGAGATTAGCCAGTCGTGGGGGAGAGGTCGTAGGTGCCCCTGTGGTCTGGGGAGGGCCCTGCCCCATTCCTTTCCTCTTGGTGCTTGCTGCTGGCTGCTGTGGGGCAGGAGGTCAGTGCTGGGGTTCTGGAAGAGTGCTGTGGGGCGGCGAGGAGAGTGTGGGCGCCAGAAGCAGCAGGACCTGCCAGGAGGTGCAGTCTGGGTGGGGACCTGCATTGCAGCAGACAAGCGTTGCGAGGAGGAACCTGGGTAGACCATGCTTTCTGGAGGTTGTTGAGAGCCTGTTCTGTTCATTCTGATTCCTTGTAGCAGTTTGTATTTTGATTATTGTTTTTACCAAATTATAGGTGAAGGATGACAAAATAATTCTCTTTTTTTAACAAACTTATTTACTTATTTGGAAGTCAGAGTTACACAGAGAGAGAAGGAGAGGCAGAGAGAGAGAGAGATCTTACATCCACCAGTTCACTCCCCAGATGGCTGCATTGGCTAGAGCTGCACCGATCGGAAGCCAGGAGCCAGGAGCTTCCTCCAGGTCTCCCACGTGGGTGCAGGGGCCCAGGGACCTGGGACATCCTCCACCGCTCTCCCAGGCTACAGCAGAAAGCTGGATCGGAAGTGGAGCAGCTGGGACTTGAACCAGCGCCCATATGGGATGCCGGCACTGCAGGTGGCAGCCCCACCCACTACACCACAGTGCCAGCCTCCCCCCACTCTTTTTTTTAAACAGAAGTGGTTTGGAAAGCAAGCAGCATGATCTATGGTGGGGAGAAAGTAGCTGAGGAGCAGAGGTCCCTAAATTACGAGGTTGCTTGGTTTTATGTACCAGTTAAGGGCAACGTAAACCACCTACCAGCAGTTGAGAGTGGAAACTAAGGACATGTGTGTGCAAGAATCCAAACAAATGAGGAAGAGTCTTCTTGGCTAAGTTGGAAAATGAGATCCTTTAAAACAGAAAGGTCCAAGTAAGAAAACTGAGAAATCCAAAATGTACAGAGAAGTAATTTAGAATCCCACAACTCTGAAGTCCTTTTTGAGGAACTCCAAATCCAGTCATTTTAAAATAAGATAGTGAGACTATATGATACTTTTACTGTAGATTGAGACCACAGGTTAAAGGATATTTCTTTTATGTCCAAATATGTCCTTTGACTTGGTTTTTGTGGAAGACGTGAAGGATATTCCACATTTACATTCATCTTGACAGTAAAATGGGTCTGATTTGCACAAGAGCTGTTGTCTGTGGCTGGCCCTGAACAGCGGCCCTGACCTGGGGTGCTCTCGGCATCACCAGGAGCTTTGTCAGAGACACGTGCACATCCCCTGGGCGCCTGATGCAGGAGGTCAGGGCAAGGGCTTTAGTGCTCTGGAGTCTGGACCTACTGATGATGATAGATGGATAAATCAGCAAGACCAGGTAGCATTTGTATAAAAATGTTTAGGGCTCTGGTGAGGGACTGTGTAGAATGGTTGGTTGAAAGCATGCAGATATCCCTAGGAGCTGCGCTAGAGGGGCAGCCCATTTATAAGGGGGACTGCAGGAGGAAGAGTTTTTGGAGATTTGGGCAATGGCTTCTGTAGCAGTCTTGTAGCAGGGGCCCTCCCAGACTGGTAGGACTTTGAGCATCGAGGTGGGTGTTGGGAGATGGAGCAGGCAGGACACTGCAGCACCAGGTGGCATAGGGAAGGACCACCCCTTTCTTAGACCACAGGTCTCTTGTTAGTGACTCTTTAATAAAGTTTCCCACAGTCAGATTCCTGGGCCCCCAACAGTCTGATTCAGAGATCTGAAGTGGGCAGACCACATATGGGGAAGCCATACTTCAAAGCATAGCATGTCTCATAGCTCCCTGTACACAAGGAGAAACTGGTACTAGTTCAGAGCTGAAGCAGGCCTCCTTGAAGACTTGTGTTATATTGTGATATAGAATGCACCTGAAGATGGACAGTTAAAGAAGATTTTTCCAGATCAAGATATGTTCATAGCCTGGACTAGTGCTTGTATTTTCGTATTGCCACACATGTCATATGATCTCAGATAATTTGGGAAAACAATAAAGAGCATGGGGTGGAGAGGCTGGAATCAGGGTGAGATCTGATCCCAGTGGGAGAAGAGAAAGCAAAGTGTCAGGTGAGAAGGTGACCTGGCTCCTCCCACAGTGTGTGAAATCATTTAATTTTGGGCTCAGCAGATTATCAAGCCATATCAAATTCCAGTTCTGTGTTTTAGCCAACTTTGTCTCTCTTAGGATAATGTGCATGCAAAAGGTGCTCAATAAATGTGTAATGACTACCAGGTGGACATGAAATAGTAGTGTAGAGAACATTGAGTGACACTGAGGGAGCTGTGACACCCAGCCCCGCCATCCACCCAGCAAATATGTCCTTTGCTCTCTTAGGAGTAATTCACCACTTCTTGTGTTTAAATAACAGGAGTAGAACTCCTGAGAGTTCTACCAAGATGGGACTGGGTAACCTTAGTACAGTGATGGTACGGGAAAAAAGCATTGAAATAACTCCTCAGACTTTGGGTGAAGCTTCCTAAGGCTTCACCTGTCTGTTGGGCATGTGCAGCCACACAAGTCTTGCTTCTGAAATACCGCCCAAGTGTCCCGATCCCCTTGTGGCATGGACATGCTCTTTGCTTCTTATCCAAGGATCAGAAAACTGTATTCTGTCATCAAGTAATACAATTTCCACCTTAATGAAATTTTTCGGGTAGCTAAATAAATACATAAATATTTATACATAAATAAATACATATAAAAATATAAAATAAATATAAATACATAAATACATAAAAATTATGTATAAATATTTATTTATGTATTTATTTATTTGAAAAGAGTTAAAGAAGGAGAGATCCAGAGGTCTTCCATCTCCTGTTTCACTCCCCAAATAGCCATGATGGTCAGGGCTGGGCCAGGCCGAAGCCAGGAGCTTTTTCCGGATCTCCCAGGAGCAGGGGCCCAAAGACTTGGGCCATCTTCCACTGGTTTCCTAGGCACATTAGCAAGGAGCTGGATCAGAATCAGAGCAACCGGGACTTGAACTGGTATCCGTATGGGATGCCATGCCTGCAGACAGCAGCCTAACCCGCTGTACCACAGCGCCGGCCCCTTCTTCTCTCTTAACTTTCTAAGTGGGGTGATTTACAGAGGACCCCTTGGGGTAGTGACTGTTGCCTGTTTAGTATGGAATGCTACCACTGCTTGGGAGACTGTTCTCATGAAACAATTTTGTTTCCTCTTGCAGGACACCATGAAACCCCACTGTCTGCCTCTACCAAGATGCTGGAGAGATTCCCCAACAATCTGCCCAAACATCGGGAAAATGTGATTCCTGCTGATTCTGAGAAAAAGAGCTTTGAGGAAGTGAGTAAGGGAGTGACCTGATGAGCTTATGACTGTTCCTTCAGATGTGAGGGGAGAAGGCGTTGACTTTGCCCTTGCAGTTTAGAGCTCACAGTTTATCATGGAGAGAAGAGGAATGCACCAGAACCCATAACCAGCAACATAAATATTAAAGACTAATTGGAAGAAGAGGAAGCAAGGTGCAGGAGAACAAAGCCAGGACAAGGGGTAGGATTTGGTCTGGTGGGTAGGAGCTAGAGGCCATCAAGGGACGAGAACAGGGCCGGCACCGCGGCTCAATAGGCTAATCCTCCGCCTGCGGCGCCGGCACACCAGGTTCTAGTCCCGGTCGGGGCGCCGGATTCTGTCCCGGTTGCCCCTCTTCCAGGCCAGCTCTCTGCTGTGGCCAGGGAGTACAGTGGAGGATGGCCCAGATCCTTGGGCCCTGCACCCACATGGGAGACCAGGAGAAGCACCTGGCTCCTGGCTTCGGATCAGCGCAGTGCGCCGGCCACAGCGGCCATTGGAGGGTGAACCAACGGCAAAGGAAGACCTTTCTCTCTGTCTCTCTCACTGTCTACTCTGCCTGTCAAAATAAAAAAGGGTGGGGGAGACAAGAACAGCAGAGAGCCTGGAAGTGGGCGCCATGCTGCTGGGCCCAGCTCTCAGAGTGTGAAGAGATGGGTCCAACTGGATCTGAGGCTACCAGGTAGGCAGTAGTGGGAAATGAGCTCATGGGTAAAAAGGAACCACGTTACTAAGCCTTGAACAAGCCTGGCAGAAGAGTTAAGAGTTGATGAAGAAGTTTCCTGTAGTTTTATGAAGCCAAAGGTGGCCTGATTTGGCCACTTGGTCTAGCAAGGCTCCAGGTCACTTGGAAAATGGAGCATTAGGGCAGCAGAGACCAACCAGGTGGTAGTTGCCGTGAGGTTCTGATGTGGGCTGTGGGAGACAGGGTGCACTAATCAGATTCTAGCTGGACACAGATGGCCCCCCCATTTAGGATTTTTCCAGGAAAGTTCACCAGCAGTGCTGTTCACACAGATGTGGACAGTGCCAAGGGTTCTGAAAGCATACCTTGGCCTGAAGCCAGAGGGGAGGAGTAGAAAGGGCCCCACACCAGGAGCTGAGAGCTTGGGTTTAGTGATTCAGCAGCCCTACAGAGCTTATCCCCATTCTCTTCCATCTCTCTCAGCTGCAGCTGTCTCTGGTTGGCTTTACCCAGTAAGAAACGAGCAGGTTGGGGAGATCACTGCTCTGGCCCATATGGGTCAGCCTTCTGGGACATAACAGGTCGAGGAGGCTGGGGCGTGGCTCTGCAGGAGGGTACCCCACTTGAACAGCAAGGCACTGGGGGTTTCTGAAGGCTTTGGTGGGCCATTCAGGCTTGACCACTCATAGCTCTGCCATGGGGGGCCAAGGGATGAAGAAGGGGCTGGGGTAGGGGCAGAGTTAGACAAGGATGAGAGTGGCCAACTGATGTGGAGACACAATCACCACAAATTTACTTTAGAGACTTAGTGAAAAATCTAGACTTTTAAGGGTCCAGGCACAATATTTGTGTTGTTTATCATCTCTGCATGTGGCCAGGCTGGAGAAATACACTAATTCCTGAAGCAGTGATCTTGAATAGCATTGCCCTAAAATCTAACATTAAAGTCATGCATATTCATTGTTGAGTACTTAGAAAATAAAAATGTAAAGAATAGGACAATACCCTTAATCTGATACCCAGAGGTAGCCAGAGTCTAGATTTTTATGTTTAACCATTTGATATTTAAGGATTTTTTTTAAAGATTTTATTTATTTATTTGAGAGGTAGAGTTAAAGACAGTGAGAGGGAAAGACAGAAAGAAAGGTCCTCCCTCTGTTGGTTAACTCCCTCAAATGGCCACAATGGCCGGAGCTGCGCCAATCTAAAGCCAGGAGCCAGGTGCTTCTTCCTGGTCTCCCACGTGGGTGCAGGGGCCCAAGCACTTGGGCCATCCTCCACTGTCCTCCTGGGCCACAGCAGAGAGCTGGACTGGAAAAGGAGCAACCGGGACTAGAACCGGCACCCATATGGGATGCTGGCACTGCCGGTGGAGGATTAACCCACTGCAGCATGGCCCACTGTGCCATGGTGCTGGCCCCTAAAGATCTCTTTTAAAAAATACATTAAAATGGATACTCTGAGGTGCATCTGTGTGATAATGAATCTGACTTTTCTAACATCTTTGAGCTGATAGATCCAAATGAGTGTTGTCTGTGGCCACGTGCTTAGCAAACATTCCTCAGCTGCCATCATGTACATCACACACGCCTGCAGCGGGAGACACTGTGATAGTGACATGAAGCAAAAGGGCGTGCTTGGAGGAAGAGGAATCCACAGGAAGGGGTGGGAAGGGCCTGGAAGCAGGTCTCTTGAGGGGGTGGTGGTGCAGTAACCCCAGCACGAGGGAATCTAGTGCACATGGCCAGGAGACTCTGTTCATTCGTTTACTTGGGCAAACTAATGGCGGATCTGGAATACTAGGTGTTTAAGAATGGTTCTGTGTATTTTAATTTTTTTTAAAGATTTATTTATTTGAAAGAGTTTCAAAGGGAGGAGAGAGAGAAAGCAATCTTCCATCTACTGGTTCACTCCCCAAATGACTGTAATAGCTAGGTCTGAGCCAGGCTGAAGCCAAGAGCTGGTCACTCCATCAGAGTCTCCCACATTGTGGCAGAGGCCCAAGGACTTGGGCCATCTTCCATTGCTTTCCCAATCACATTAGCAAGGAGTTGGATCGGAAGTGGAGCAGCCAGGACTCAAACCAGCACTCATATGAGAGCCACACAGGCTGTGGCTTAACCTGCTGCACCACAAAGCTGGCACTGATCCGTGCATTTTTCTGAACCATCCATGAAGGCCTAGAGATTTTGAGTAGCTTGGAGGGAAGTTGCATTTTTTATCTGCTTTAATTTAGGGCTTCTAAATAAGATTTCCTTTTTTTATTTTTTTGCAAAATTTTTGGATTTATATTTTACTTTTTTTAAAAAAAGTAAAAGAGATTTTTACATCCATTGCTTCACTCCCCAAATGCCCACAACAGCCAGGAGCCCAGCATTCAATCTGGGCCTCCCACATGAGCGGCAGGAACCTCACTGCTAGAGCCTCCTAGGATGTGAATCAGCAGGAAACCAGATGAGAAGCTGGGCCAGGTCTCAGGCTGGGCGCTGTAACATGGGATGCGGTTGTTCCCAGTGGGCTTTGACCACTGCAGAACTGCTGTGCCAGATACCTTCCCCAAGACTTTCTCAACAAAGGTTCTGTTGCTTTTGAAACAGTAGACAAGCAGCAGAATATGTGAATAAAGGATTTTGTTTTCGAGCTGCAACATAAGAAAGCTGCGTTATTATTTCTGCAGCAGCCACATGCCTGTGCACAGTGCACTCTCCTCTCAGGAATACCAAATCCGCCTTCAAAGGGGAGGAGACTTGGCCTTGGAAGATTTTCAAAGTATGAGGATCTGAAAAGTCTCTCTGAAATGTTTTTGAGCAATGGTAACATCGCAGCAGATATGCCGATGATTTCTCAGAGCAGCTGTGTGGACAGCGGCAGTGATTATCAGGCTGCGTGACCTTTGGTGAGCTTAAAAACTTGCAGCGTGTTACAGTGTAGTCAGGCCTTGTGAATAGTGACTGCCTCTCTTGTTCAACTCGTCTGTTCCTACTAGAGATTTAGCAGTGATGGAATGCTTCCCATGCTAGGTTATCAACATGGTTGACCAGACTTCAGAGAACACACCGACCACCGTGTCTCCAGACGTGGAAGAGAAACTGGCTCGTGCCCCTGCCAAGGCCGAGGCCCCTGTGGACTCCATGCTCAAGGACATGGCCACCATCATCCTGAGCACCTTTCTACTGATCGGCTGGGTGGCCTTCATCATCACATACCCCCTGGTAACGCTCAGTCCCTTCCTTCTGCCCTCTTGTGTGTTTCTGAACTTCGCTGCCTCTCACCTCATGTCAGTGAGGTCCAGACAAAAACAGCCAACACATTTGATTTCATATTTGGACGTCCGTATTGGCTTGTTTTCCTAAACCTTTTAAAGAGACATTAGCTTCTTGGACCATTTTGTACCTAAACTTTAGAGCTTTTCAAATAACAGGCTATAAAGCTGATTTATAGATCTTGCTTGCAGCTCATTTTGAACGGGTAAATTTATTATTATTATTTTTTAAGAATAGGGACAATAGGTAGAAAGACTGCCTTTTAGACCAGCTAGAGAGGGAAGGGCAGTGTGGTGCTTCCCTTGACATCCTGTTTGGATATAGATAGTTGCATAGATAGTTGAGTAGGTCAGGGGTGGGCTAAAACATTCCAGGGGAATCCTCCTTCATTACGTTGCGCCACACATGGAGATGTTTTAGCGCCTCCGCACTCAACTGCTCAAAAAGCTCATGTCCCGTGAGGAATGAGAATAAACCTTTTACGTGGTGCTTCCTAGTGGCAGATATGTTCACTTGTTTTCCTCATACAGTCCTATGTGAGGTCGTTATTATTCATCCCTGCCCATGGAAGAAGAAAACAGTTCCCAAAAGCTGAGGAACCCTTCCCGGGGTGCTCAGCAAGCAGGTGGCGTTTCCAGGACTTCCTCCCAAGGTGGTGGTGGGGGAGTGGTTAGAAAACTCCCCTGTGGGTTGTCGGCTATAAACCAGTTCCTTTAAGCTGCCACACATGGGCAGACCTCATACAGATTGCTGCCACTTGGAATGGTGATGGTGTTAGGAAGAGTTGCAGAATTGGTGCCTCCTCACAAGGGCCGCCATAAGTGTTAGGAAAAGAGGCACAGAATAGAGCGGAGGCACTGTACGAATTTACAGCCAGACCGAATTTATTCAAAGAAAATAAATTTTTGGAGGTGCCAGCGTGCACATGATGGAACACGTGGCAAAAGGCCCTGACCCCTACACATTTATGGTGCCCCGTGTGAGGAGGCTCCAGTCTGCAACTCCTCCTAACAGATAGAGTGAGCCTTCCAGAATGAGCAGCATGGCGGGGGGCAGCATGACAAGTGGGCCAGCAGCACCCTGGCCTGAGCGTCACCCTGCTGCGTGCTGGCTGCATGGCTCTGGTGGATGGTGGATGGTTCTGAGCCCCAGATTCCGTATCTGCTCTCCAGACTGCCAGCCATCTCTGTCCCAGCTTCACAAAGTGCAAAGCCCTAGTGGACAGTGGACAGGTTACCTGTACCCATTCTGCTTCCAGCTACCTGGTACCGTTCTTCCTGTTTGACTTCATTTTTGCAATTCCCAGACTTTCATGGAAGTCAGAATTTTCGACTTGAATGGAACATTTTCTGCCTGGGCCCAACCCTCCATCTTGGCAGAGTCCCTCGTCTGGTGTCCCCGCCTGGCGGCCATACAGCTCTTTCTGGGCCCCTCCAGGGTTGGGGAGTGAGCCATACTGGGAAGGGTCACACTAGCAAGAAGGCCTGCCCCCTGGGCTCATTGTGCCCTGTGGCATCGTGTCAAGCGCAGCTCTGCCGTGAGGAGCCACTCCTTTCCTGGCTTCTTGTCTCTTGGCGGACACGGATGCACCTGTCTGCACGTGGGTTTCTCTCTCCAGAACATGCATCAGCAGCAGCAGCTCCAGCACCAGCAGTTCCAGAAGGAGCTGGAGAAGATCCAGCTCCTGCAGCAGCAGCAGCTGCCCTTCCCCCCACCCGGAGACGTGACGCAGGACGCTGACCTCCTGGACGCCTGCAGCCCATACTCGGAGAGCTCGGGCACCAGCAGCCCCAGCACGTCCCCCAGGGCCTCCAACCACTCACTGCACTCCAGCGGCTCTGCCTCCAGGGCTGGGGCCAGCCTCTCCCTGGAGCCGGATGATGAGGGTATGGCTGTTGGCTTTTGTTTTTCGTTTGAACATCACTCGAGAACTATGCGGCTCCATGGTCCTCCTTGGAGTCTCCATGAGATTATCAAGTGCCATTCCCAAGGGCTCACTGTGCTGTCCCCTAACGTCCTCCCTCCTGTGGGGTCTCTGGGAGGGGCATCTACCCCCAGAGGGCCTTTGGGAAGTCTCCTTAGTCCTCCCTCCAGTGTGCTCCACAAGGGCTGAGAATTGGTACTGCGCAGAGGTGAGCTGCCTGTGACGCTTGGGAGAATTACTGAGGACAGCCAGTGGCCAGGTACAAAGTGCAGCTCTGGATCCCCCTTCCTCTCCGGCTGGTTGTCAGGGGGAGCCAGTGTTCTGAGCGTATCAACACTGACCTTGTGCAGGGACCGCAGAGCCCCAGGTCCCACTGCTGCCTGACTCTGAGCTGCACATCCTTCAGGTGGATCTTTCTTTGCATTATGCATTGCATAGGTCCAACTGTATGTGAACATGAAGTTTGTAGAGAATCCCAATCTTTAAGAAAGTTTCAGACACACATGGTAATATAGAATAAAGTATATAAAGGCAGAGACGGTGTTGGGGCAGGGGGAGGAAGGGCTCTTTGTCTGTAGGATTTGGTGCCATTTTAACTTCAAGGCCCTTTTGGGGGTTGTCTGTTTGAAATACCCTCTTCTTATTCCTTTTTGTTACAGATGAGGAAGCCAGCATGGTGATGGTTGGGAAGATTTCATTCTGTCCTAAAGACGTCCTGGGCCACGGAGCTGAGGGCACAATTGTGTACCGGTGAGTGGATGAGCCAGGCCCACCCCACACCTTGTAGTAGGTGCGTGCCTGTCGGGTTGTAGACTGAGTGCCAGGCCTCAGAGGCACAGCAGGGCCAGAGCCATGACCCAGGCACATGACCTCTGGGGAGCCTCCTGCGCGGAGAGAAACGGTGACCCCAGGGCTACCTGGCGGTCAGTGAAGGTCGCGGCTGCAAGGCTGGCAGGGTGGCCGCTGTGTCGCAGGCAGAGGAGTGCCGCAGGCCTCGTTGCATTTCCTCAGCCCGTCCACACTTGCAGACCCCAGCCCCGCTCCTTGTCCCCAGGGGCATGTTTGACAACCGCAACGTGGCCGTGAAGAGGATCCTCCCTGAGTGTTTCAGCTTCGCCGACCGTGAGGTGCAGCTGCTGCGAGAATCAGACGAGCATCCGAACGTGATCCGCTACTTCTGCACGGAGAGGGACCGGCAGTTCCAGTACATCGCCATCGAGCTGTGCGCGGCCACCCTGCAGGAGGCGAGTCCCGTGCTGGGCTGCTGCCTTCCTCCTCCCCCACCCCCACCCCGGGCTCTGGTTTTAGAGACCACAGGGTTATTTTTATGTCACTTTACTAATGTTACTGAAGTGACAATACAATGAAATGCACAGTTTGCTTCATTTTGACAAGTGTGTATACTCACGAACCACAAGCACAGTACCCCGGTTTTAATGGGGTGGTCTCCTCAGCACGCCTGGTGGTCTTTGGTCGTGAGTCTTTTCCTGTCTGTCTCCGGGGGACCTGGGCCATTGTTCCTGTCTCTGGTCAAGGCTAGTCGGGGGTTGGAAGATGCTGGTTGATGGCTCTAGGCTTTGATATCATCCAGCAGCCTCCTGCTGGATTTCCAGGCCCACCATGACGCCATCTCACTCTCACGTGGGTTCCCTTGCAGGCTTATCTATATGAGACAGTGAACCTGATTGTCATCTTGTCTTTCTCTTTATAAATCAGCGAACTGGGGCTTTGTTGATTTGTTTAAGTCAACTGATAACTTCAGGGGGACTGTTGGAGACTGTGGACTTGCAGAGATTGTTGTCAGTAAAACTTGGCTTTTCCTTCTTAAAACGGGTTCAACAGAAGTGAACTGAGGGCCACGTGGTGTGACCTTGTCGTCGTGTCTCTTGCAGTATGTGGAGCAGAAGGACTTCTTCCACCTTGGCCTGGAGCCCATCACCTTGCTGCAGCAGACCACCTCGGGCCTGGCGCACCTCCACTCGCTCAACATTGGTGAGAGGCTTCTCCTTGCCGGGCCAGGGGCCAGGGGCCTGGGGGCGGGTTGCTGACTGCTCAAGTGGCCTTGCCTCTGTTTGAGTCCTTTGCTGCCTCACTGATGTGTGGGGCATGGAGGGTGGGTTTAGGTGGTCTTAGTAGAGCCGTGTAAGAATTTGAGGAAGAATCTTACATAGTTGGCAACCAGCATGTTTGGAGCAGCAGCAGACACACTGGAGGTCTGACGAGGACACACTCCCCCTTATAGAGGGAGACCTGGGTTCTTCGAGGCACCCATTGGACTAATGTGGAGTTTCATCCTAGTTCACAGAGACCTGAAACCCCACAACATTCTCCTCTCCATGCCCAATGCACATGGCAAGATTAAGGCTATGATCTCTGACTTCGGCCTCTGTAAGAAGCTGGCAGTGGGCAGGCACAGCTTCAGCCGCCGTTCTGGGGTGCCCGGCACAGAGGGCTGGATCGCCCCGGAGATGCTGAGTGAAGACTGCAAGGAGAACCCTGTGAGTAATGGCACAGCCCCGTGACACTGCAGAGCCTTTCACACTCAGGATGTCGCTGGAGAACGCCACTCCTGTCACAAAGGCTTCTGCGTGAACCTCCCGAACTGTACTGAAAGGAGGGAGTGCCAGCAGTTGTCTACTCTTTTTCCTATTCTTACCATCATTTTTAACCCCTTTCTTATTTGGGAAGCAGAGAAATCAGGGTTTGGGTAAAGTGAGCAGAACTCTGGATTCTGTTATTTTAAAATCTGCTTGTTTTTGTTTTCTCAGCTTTTTATTTTGAGAATTTTTGAACATACAAAATATTGAGAGAGTGTTATCAGGAGCTGTGTACCTCCTCTTAGATTCAACATCTGTTAAAATTTTTGCTACATTTGCTTTATCTTTCTCCATTGCTGACTTATTTGAATATAGTAGCAGGCGACCTGGCCCTTCACCTGTAAATACTTCAACATGAGTCTACTTTTTTTTGTTCTTGTTGTTAAAGATTTATTTGAAAGGCAGAGAGAGATATTTCCATCCACTAGTTCACTCCCCAAATGGCTGCAACAGGTGGGTTTTTTTTTTTTTTTTTAAGATTTTATTTATTTATTTATTTGAGAGGTAGAGTTACAGACAGTGAGAGGGAGAGACAGAGAGAAAGGTCTTCCATCTGTTGGTTCGCTCCCCAGATGGCTGCAACGGCTGGAGCTGCACCAGTCCAAAGCCAGGAGCCAGGTGCTTCTTCCTGGTCTCCCATGCGGGTGCAGGGGCCCAAGGACTTGGGCCATCCTCTAATGCTTTCCCAGGCCATAGCAGAGAGCTGGATTGAAAGAGGGGCAGCCGGGACTAGTACTGGTGTCCATATGGGATGCCGGTGCCATAGGCAGAGGATTAACCTACTGCGCCATAGCGCTGGCCCCAAGAGGTGGGGCTTGAACCAGGGTTTGAAACCAGGAGCCAGTAACTCCATCTGGGTCTGCCACGTGGGTGGCAGGGACTCAAGTATGTGAGCCATTATCCCTTGCTTCTCAGGCTAGATCCGAGGTGGAGCAGCTGGGACTCAGACTGGCACCCAGATACAGAGTACAGCCATCTCAAGCAGGCTGTGCCAGAACCCGTGTCCCAGCACGAGTCTGCTTCCTAACCACCATGCGAGTATCACACCTGAACAGTCACTGCTGTTTCTGTCATTCAATATTCAGCCCATATCCACGTTTCCCCCGTTCCCCAAACGTCTTGTGTAGAGCTTGTTTTCTCACACTAGGACCCTGTCAGGCGTCTTGCATTACATTTGGTCATCTCTCCGAAACCAGGATACTGACATTTTAGAGCCTCGGCACTTTTTTGTAGAATACCCCATTCTAGATTTGTTTGCTTAGTTCCTCATGGCAGTGTTTTTTGTTTTTTTGTTTTTTTGTTTTTTGACAGGCAGAGTAGACAGTGAGAGAGAGAGACAGAGAGAAAGGTCTTCCTTTTGCCGTTGGTTCACCCTCCAATGGCCGCCACAGCTGGCGCACTGCGGCTGGCGCACCACGCTGATCCAAAGGCAGGAGCCAGGTGCTTCTCCTGGTCTCCCATGGGGTGCAGGGCCCAAGCACTTGGGCCATCCTCCACTGCCTTCCCGGGCCACAGCAGAGAGCTGGCCTGGAAGAGGGGCAACCGGGAAAGAATCCAGCACCCCGACCAGGACTAGAACCCAGTGTGCCGGTGCCGCTAGGTGGAGAATTAGCCTATTGAGCCATGGCACTGGCCATGGCAGTGTTTTGACATTTCTCTCTATTCTTTCTATTTCCTGTGAACTAGAAGTTATTAGGTCTAGAGGTTTGATTAGATTTAAGGTACATGTTTTTAGCAAGAAAAGGTCATAGGTCACTGCATCAGGAGGCATGTGATGGCAGATTATTCCTCTATCAGAGATGCTAACTTGGTGCCAACTGATCTCTCCACTGTGAAGTTCATTTCTCCTTTTGTTGTTAGCAAGTGACATGCGGTGTGATACTTGGCACAGTGTGAATATCCTATTTACCAATAGTCATTCACCCAGGACTTAGAAATTGTTGACCATCTTTGTCTAAAGCACTCAGTTCAGTGGAATTGCTTTCCATTTATTAGTGGACATTTTTTGTAAAGAAGTGCTTTACTTTTATTACTTTTTTTCTCTTATTTTTTCCCCCTTAATCCCTGCAGACACCAGGATTTTCTTTAAGGTTATTTATTTGAAAAAGTTGCAGAGAGAGTGAAGAAAAGACACAGAGAGCTCTTACATTTGCTGGTTCACAACCAGATGGCCACAATAGCCAGGAGGAGCCAGGAGCTTCTTCCAGGTCCCCACGTGGCTGCAGGGACCCAAGCACTTGGATCATCTTCTGCTGCTTTTTCCAGGGCATTAGCAGGGAGCTGGATTGGAAGTGGAGTAGCTGGGACCGAACCAGTGCTCAGATGGGATTCTGGTGTTGCAGGTGCCAGCTTTCCATGCCTCAGTGCTGAGCTCTCAAGCATTCTATTTTTTTTTTTTTTTTTTTAAGATTCATTCATTTATTTGAAAGCCGGAGTTACACAGAGAGAGGAGAGGCAGAGAGAGAGAGAGAGAGAAAGAAGAGAGATCTTCCGTCCGCTGGTTCACTCCCCAACTGGCCGCAATGGCCGGAGCTATGCTGATCCGAAGCCAGGAGCCAAGAGCTTCCTCTAGGTCTCCCACATGGGTGCAGGGGTCCAAGGACTCGGGCCATCTTCTACTGCTTTCCCAGGCCATAGCAGAGAGCTGGATCAGAAGAGGAGCAGCTGGGACTAGAACTGGCACCCATATGGGATGCCAGCGCTTCAGGCCACGGCTTTAGCCCACTGCGCCACAACGCTAGCTCCTCTTATTATTTTTTATTTTTTTTTTTTTTTTGACAGGCAGAGTGGACAGTGAGAGAGAGAGACAGAGAGAAAGGTCTTCCTTTGCCGTTGGTTCACCCTCCAATGGCCGCCGCGGCCGGCGCGCTGCTGCCGGCGCACCGCGCTGATCCGATGGCAGGAGCCAGGAGCCAGGTGCTTTTCCTGGTCTCCCATGGGGTGCAGGGCCCAAGCACCTGGGCCATCCTCCACTGCACTCCCTGGCCACAGCAGAGGGCTGGCCTGGAAGAGGGGCAACCGGGACAGACTCCGGCGCCCCGACCGGGACTAGAACCCGGTGTGCCGGCGCCGCTAGGCGGAGAATTAGCCTAGTGAGCCGCGGCGCCGGCCTCATTATTTTGTTCTGAAGATTATTTATTTGAAAGGCAGACTTGGGGGGCCAGGGGTAGAGAGAAAGAGATCAATTTTCCTTCTGCTGGTTCACTCCCCAAATGGCCACAACAGCTGGAATTGGGCTGATATGAAGCCAGGAGCCAGGAGCTTCTTCCGGGTCTCCCACATGGGTGCAGGGGCCCAAGGACTGGGCCATCTTCTGCTGCATTCCCAGGCCATTAGCAGAGAGCTGGATCAGAAGTGGAGCAGCCGGGAATCACAGTTTCTTGTTGTTAAAGGTGTGTTTCTTCACATGTGGAAAGTGAAGAGACCCTCCTTTCTCTCATGACCTCCTCATGTTGTCTGGTGGAGTTATGTACTTATTTATTTGAAAGTCAGAGTTGTGGGGGCATGGAGTAAGGGCAGATACCTCCCATCTGCTGGTTCGCTCTCCAAATGGCCACAACGGCTAGGGCTGGTTCAGGCTGCAGCCAGGTGCCTGGAACCCCATCTGGATCACCCGCATGCATGGAGGGGGCACGAGCAGGGAGCTGGATCAGAAATGAAGCAGCCAGGACTCAAGTGGCACCCTGGTGGAGAACCTAAGAGGTGGGGCCTGCAGTGGGGACCCAAGCCATGCCCAGAAGATTAGTGTTACAGCCCCAGCAGCATGAGCTAGAAATCACATCTGCACATTTTCCTAAAAGGAAGCTCCTCCAGAGACATTAAATGGTGTTGTGGGGTAAGTGCGGAGTGTTACTAGCAAGTAACCTCACACATGACCTCACTGAAAACTTGTTAGGTAGTTGCTGTCTGGGGCTGATTTTGAATCTAAAACGGTGTTAGTTGCTTACAAATAAGTTTGGATCCCCACTGTGTGCAGACACCATTCAGGCCCTGGGGGTACAGGAGGGAGCCCAGTAAGTAGAGTCCCTCCGAGGGACTGGTGTTGGGTGGGTGATGGCTCGGAGAGCTTCCTCTGGCCCAGGGCTGTCTTCAGAACCACGTTCCTGTCTGAATGCACCCTCCACAGCTGTCCGCAGGGAGCAGACCACACGGTTCTCTTCTCAGACCTGAGGAGGCCAAGGCACAGGGCATCATGGGCTTGCCATTGGCCCCCATCCTCCGCTGTGACCATGACCCCCCATGTGGTGCTGCAGGGTGCCCTTCCCTGCCCGGGCAGGTCACCGCCTCCAGCTGATGCTCCCAGGATGCACTGCTCCTGCCTTCCCTGGCCGCTGTGAGATGGGAGCGCTGCCTGAAGGCTCCCTGTGCTCTGCTTCGTTTCAGACCTACACAGTGGACATCTTCTCTGCGGGCTGCGTCTTTTACTACGTCATCTCTGAGGGCAGTCACCCGTTTGGCAAGTCCCTGCAGCGGCAGGCCAACATCCTCCTGGGTGCCTACAGCCTTGACTGCTTCCACCCAGAGAAGCACGGTGAGCGGGCTGAGGGTCGAGAGGGCCTCCTTGGCTGCTTGAGAGGCCTCCGGAACTGGGCTGCTCCTCCCCTGCACTTCCAGAGGCCCTGCCGCCCAGCTGCTCGCTGAGGGCCTCGTTTCCTGCCAGCTTGGGCACAGCTTGCGGAGGGCTGCCTCGGGTTACCTGTGAAGAACCAGGAAGCTCCAGAGTTCCTCCAGGTCACCAGCTGTCTGTGTGCCCGGCAGGGCCCCGTCCTGGAGACCTGTGTTGCAGCTTGTGACGCAAGGGTTAAATATCTGAGATCACTTCCTGCAGAGGCCTGGCAGGGACAAATTGTCCACAAAGTAGCCCCTCCTGTGAGGGCCTGTGCTCAGTGGGACAGTCTGTGCTGGGTCGGGGTGGACGGGCCCTCTTCTCACTCCTCTTGTGTGAGTCTAGCGAGTCTTCTGGACTTCGGAGAAAAACCTAAAACTAAATAATTGTTTTACTTATGGGTTGATTTATTCATTGTGGGGAAAAAAAACCAGATTACTGTAAAGGCCAATAATTCCATTATACAGGAATGAATGACTGCTGTTAATACCTTGGCATGTATTATCCTGATCATTTATCTAGATACATATGTATATTTTTATAAAAATGGGGTTAATCATACATTGCTATGCAAAGGGCTTTTCAAATTTCTGTAAAAAGATATATTTATTTCTAGTGCAGAGTTACAAAGAGAGGGGGACAGAGAGAGATCTTCTGTCTACTGGTTTACTTCCCAGATGGGCATACTTCCCAGAGGTGGGCCAGGCCAAAGCCAGGAACCCAGAGCTTCTTCCAGGTCTCTCACATGGGTGCAGGGGTCCAAGAACTTGGGCTGTCTTCCCTTGCTTTCCCAAGTGCATTAGCAGGGAGTGGATCAGAAGTGGAGCAGCTGGGACACAAACTGGTGCCCTCATGGGATGCTGGTGTCACAGGCGGCAGCTTTACCTGCTACACCACAATGCCAGCCCCTCAATTAATTTCAACTTCTTTTCCTTTTTTTTTTTTTTTAAGATGTGTTAATTTGTTTGAGAGGCAGAGTTACAAACAGAAAGAGAAAGGTCTTCCATCAGCTGGTTCACTCCCCAAATGGCTACAATGGCTGGAGCTGAGCTGATCTGAAGCCAGGAGCCAGGAGCTTCTTCCAGGGCTCCTATGTGAGTGTAGGGACCAAAGCACTTAGGCCATCTTCCACTGCCTTCCCGGGCCATAAGTACAGAGCTGGATTGGAAGAGGAGCAGCTGGGACACGAACTGGAGCCCATAAGGAATGCTGGCACTGCAGGCGGAGGCTTAACCTACTATGCCACAGCGCCAGCCCCTCAATTTCATCTTGAATGTCTCTGCATGTCAATCCGTTTTTAGTCACAGCATCATTAATTAAAAATTTGTATTTATTTATTTGGAAGGCAGAGAGCCAGAGATCTTCCATCTGTTGGTTCACTTCCCAAATGCTCAGAACAGTCAGGGCTGGGCCAGGCTAAAGCCGGAACTGAAGCTCAGTGCGAGTCCTGAGCCCCAGGGTAGGCAGATCTCGAGGCTTGGGGCTTCCCGTTGGAGACAGTGATTTGTTCATTCTCCTGCTTTGTAGAGGATGTCGTTGCCCGGGAGCTGATAGAGAAGATGATCGCCATGGACCCTCAGAAGCGCCCCTCGGCGAAGCACGTGCTCAAACACCCGTTCTTCTGGAGCCTGGAGAAGCAGCTCCAGTTCTTTCAGGTCAGGCCGTCCGTCTCCTCTCGCAGAATCTCCGCTGAATGTTTTTTGCCAGATTTTGAAACTATAGAAAAAAGAAACTGAAGAATAACTGACTCCCAGTCCTACGACTGAGAGCTAAATAGTTGTGGTTAGCATTTTAATGTATTTTCTTCATGTAGGTAAAAATGTTAATTGGAATCAAACTGAACGTTCAGCTTTGTTTCCTGCTCCATGTCTCTCTTTTTACAGGCTATTTTAAATATTTTATCTTAAAGTTCTACAATTTTAATGCCCAGAGTATTTTATCATGCAGATGGGCCATGCTTTTTTTTTTTTTTTTTTTTGACAGGCAGAGTTAGACAGTGAGAGAGAGAGAGACAGAAAGAAAGGTCTTCCTTCCATTGGTTCACCCCCCAAATGGCCGCTACGGCCGGCGCACTGCGCCAATCCGAAGCCAGGAGCCAGGTGCTTCTCCTGGTCTCCCATGTGGGTGCAGGGCCCAAGCACTTGGGCCATCCTCCACTGCCTTCCCAGGCCACAGCAGAGAGCTGGACTGGAAGAGGAGCAACCGGGACTAGAACCTGGGATGCCGGTGCCGCAGGCGGAGGATTAGCCTAGTGAGTGAGTCTTGGCGCCGGCTGTGCCATGCTTTTTAAACTTTATTTTACAAAATTTCCACATATACCCACAGCAGAGCAAACGCTACACTAAGCTCTCCTTTACCCTTCCCCGACGTCAGCATTACCTCGGCCTCTCTCCACTGCCAATGAAGCAAATCTCTGGCAGCTTATATAATTTTCACTCTGGTGTCATGAATTTTAACATTTTCTTATATTGGATTTTTTTCTCTGTCACCTTTACTTAATCTTTGTTCAGCTCCATTTGGCTTAAGATTCAACTGCACCAGTGACTGTGCACGCCTCTGCTGTTTGACAGCTTTGCAACATTGCTGCTGTGGGAGGCGATGTGTTTCTATCTTCTGGGCTGTAACTGAGCAGAACCCCCCCATCACCCCACCCCAGGTGCACCTTGGAAGAGCAGGCTCATGGGGGCAGGGCTTTTCCACCTGGGTCTGGGCAGCACACAGCTTGGTGAGCACCGTGGTTCAGAAGTGACCATCAGGCACTGAGGGCGGGGGCGCTTGTGCCTTCACTGTGTTCAGTTGGCTCTGCCTCCGCTTGGCCTAGGGCAGGTGCTGCAGCACCCATTAGACGATCGCCATGATGGCGTTGGGTACTGTCCTTCGTGACAGCAGAGGGTGGGCGTGCCAGCGGGCTGATCGCTGTGTCCTAGAGGACGTAGTATGAAAATTCTCCCATCCCCGTCATCACTTCATAGAAACCCAAGCAAAGGAACCTTCAGTCCGTGATGTTAGGATTCAAACACTTGGTATCTCAAAGTTTTGTTTTGTGAACACACCTGGCTTCTGTCCGTGTCAACTGGCTGACCGCCTTGGCTCAGAGACAGGCCCCCGGATACCCAGGGCCGTCGTCTCATCCATCTCTCCAGGGCTTTTCTCCAGCAGTCGCAAGTGAGGTGTTCGGCTAGAGTGGCTTTCTCATTGTCAAAGGACTAGACGATGGGTCTCGAGGCTGCTAGACATTGAGGCACGTGGGCCGTTGCTGTGTTTGCTCAGACAGGAATCTGTCCAGGCAGGACCTCGAGGAGCTGGTCCTCAGGTGCAGCCTGGACCCTGCTGCAGCCAAACCTGAAAGCAGAGCAGGGCTGAGCCCAGACAGGGCCTGCAGCGCTCTCTCCGCCGAGTCTTCCTCGCGGCGAGGGCTCCCCTGCCTTTCCCGCGTGGATGGGCTATGTCGGCCCTCCGCTGCTTGTGGCGGCCAGCACGTGCTTTCTTGGCGCATGGGTGGGCCCAGGATACAAGTAGAAATTGAGCTTTCCCCCCCTTTTCTGGCAGATACCACACACATGGCTCCGTGTGGATGCACAGTGTGTGTGTGCATTTGTGAAGTTCCTGGGTGCGTGAGTGGAGTGTGCGCAGAGGTGTCCCTGCGACACTGCTGTCTTGTGGTGAGGCCCTGCAGGCTGTCCCCAGGGGGCAGCAGACAGCTACTCACAGCACGCAGTGCACTTGCTGCCTGGCCCACACCAGGTTTCTGCCTGGGCTGGAGAGGACTAGCCAACCCATTAGGCCTCTCCTGGTAGTGGCTGTTCTGTGACTTTTTTTTTTATTTTTTGACAGGCAGAGTGGACAGTGAGAGAGAGAGAGACAGAGAGAAAGGTCTTCCTTTGCCATTGGTTCACCCTCCAATGGCCGCTGTGGCTGGTGCACTACGGCCGGCGCACCGTGCCGATCCGAAGGCAGGAGCCAGGTGCTTCTCCTGGTCTCCCATGGGGTGCAGGGCCCAAGCACTTGGGCCATCCTCCACTGCCTTCCCTGGCCACAGCAGAGAGCTGGCCTGGAAGAGGGGCAACTGGGACAGAATCCGGCGCCCCGACCGGGACTAGAACCCAGTGTACCGGCGCCGCAAGGTGGAGGATTAGCCTATTGAGCCACGGCGCCGGCCTGTTCTGTGACTTTTTGTGTCTGTCCTGCGGCGCTTAGCCTCTCTGACCCTGACCATCATCTGTTGCCCTTGTCTCCCTCACAGGATGTGAGTGACCGGATAGAAAAGGAGTCCCTGGACGGCCCGATAGTGAGGCAGCTGGAGCGAGGCGGGAGAGCTGTGGTGAAGATGGACTGGCGGGAGAACATCACCGTCCCGCTGCAGACAGGTGGCCGTGCGGAGCCCGAGGGAGGAGTGTTTCCTAGAGATCAACGTGGAAACGGCAGCGCAGGCCACTCCGCCTGCAGTGCCGCCCCGGGTCCGGGCGCTCTGGGGCTGTGTCCTCTGCGATTTGCTTATGCTGATGTCTCATTTTCATCCCTTAGACATCTTAGTGAGAGGTCATGTCATGGATGGCCAGTTCTGATGTGGGTGTGGCCAGGAGGTGGGGTTCAGACCCCAGCCTGGGCTCCCTGTGGGGGACGCACCCCTGAGAGCATGTGCGGTCCCACTGCTTAACCCCGGGGGCCCCAGGAGTTGTTCTCTTTAAAAGTTTTGTGTCACTTGTGTCACCAGTGCATCCTTCATGTCTTTCTAGATCTGCGTAAATTCAGAACCTATAAAGGTGGCTCCATCAGAGACCTCCTCCGAGCCATGAGAAACAAGGTAAAGTGTCTGTGGGTCCTGGGGCGGGCAGCCAGCGCCCCAGCGCGGATTCCTCTTCCTCTTAGCCCTCCCGCACTGATCCCGCGTCTGCTGGCGTTCTGCGCTCTCCCAGGCGAGGCGGCCTCCGCTGCACCTGGCAGGCTGGAGGCCGCTTCTCCCCTCACACAGCGCTCACACACGCTGAGGTCTGGAGTCAGCTCTGGGGAGCGGCCTCGTGGAGCCTTGTGGCGTCTCCCAGCTGCCCACTTGACATGGTTGCTACACAAACACACCTCTAACGAGGAGCCCTTGGGCACCTTCAGAGATGGGGCCTGGGCTCCAGGGGCTTGGCAGGGGCCCTATCTGTCCTCTGGGGGCCCGGGGGCTCTTGGCCTCTGCCGTCATCATGCAGCCTTCAACCAGGACCTGTCCCCTGGGACAGGCATTGTGGCGCAGCAGGTTAAGGCACTAGCCTGTGATGCTGGGGTACCATATGGTGCCATCCCATATGGGTGCCAGTTTGAGTCCCGGCTACTCCACTTCTGATCCAGCCCCTGCTACTGTGCCTGGGAAAGCATCCTGCTACCTGCATGGAGGACCAGGGTGGCGTTCTGGGCTCCTGGCTTCAGCCTAGTCGAGCCCTGGCCTGTTGAAGTTATTTGGGGAGTGGACCAGCAGATGAAAGAGCTCTGTATCTCTCCTCTCTGCGTCACCTGCCTTTCAAATAAATAAATTTTTTTTTGTTTGTTTGTTTGACAGGCAGAGTGGACAGTGAGAGAGAGGGACAGAGAGAAAGGTCTTCCTTTTTGCCGTTGGTTCACCCCCCCAGTGGCTGCCGTGCTGTGACCGGCGCATCGCGCTGATCCGACACCAGGAGCCAGGTGTTTTTCCCGGTCTCCCATGCGGGTGCAGGGCCCAAGCACCTGGGCCATCCTCCACTGCACTCCCGGGCCACAGCAGAGAGCTGGCCTGGAAGAGGGGCAACCGGGACAGAATCCGGCGCCCCGACCGGGACTAGAACCTGGTGTGCCGGCGCCGCAATGCGGAGGATTAGCCTAGTGAGCCGCGGCGCCGGCGCTCAAATAAATCTTAAAACAGGGCCTGCCCCAGGTACAAAAGGGGGTTCCACACACGTTGGGACAGATTCCTCAATTCCGGGCGGTTTGTTTTCCTGTGGTTGCTGGGAATCCCTCTAGGTCCTGACGGCACAGAAGGCCTGTCCGTCCGCTGCCTGCTGGTGCAGTGCCTCGCTGTGCTGCCCAGGCCAGGCCTCACGTGCTCTGAGGCCTCTCCCTGAGCGAGGCGCGGGGGCTGGATGACCGGGAGGGAGTGCTGGCCGCACGAAGCTGTTTCCTTTCTTTGCAGAGACCCCGCTAACACCCTGCCCCCATGCGCTAACCCTGTGTCTCTGTTCCCGCCTGCAGAAGCACCACTACCGGGAGCTCCCGCCGGAGGTGCGCGAGACGCTGGGCTCCCTCCCCGACGACTTCGTGCGCTACTTCACGTCCCGCTTCCCCCACCTCCTCTCACACACTTACCGGGCCATGGAGCTCTGCAGCCAGGAGAGACTCTTCCAGCCCTACTACTCCCATGAGCCCCCGGAGCTCCGGCCCCCAGTGACTCCGGACGCCCTCTGAGCCGGGCCGCCCCTCCGTTTGGTGGCTGCAGTCATGACTCCACAGTCCAGGGCTGGGCACCTCCCAGCTTCGCAGGGAACCCAGGCTTCCCAAACAAGTGCCTTGAGCTGCCCACTCCGCGGTCACAGAGGGTAAGGCCGGCCCCAGGAGAGGGGCCGCCGGGGGCTGTCTGCACAGGAAGGCCGTCCCAGAGGCCGGAAGGAGCACCGCCCGCCTTCCGCTGGAGAAACTCGCTTCGACTTTCTTTTTAAAATCCCTGTTCGCTATCAGTCTGGGCCTTTCAGGAGGGGCCGGAAAGGGGCCTCAGTTCTGCCTGGGGCCAGGAGCAGCTGGGCTGAGCTCTGTCTGTCCATCCGCCGGCCCAGGGCTGAGCTCTGTCCGTCAGTCCGCCGGCGAAGGGCTGAGCTCTGTCCGTCCGTCCGCCAGCCCAGGGCTGGAGCAGTGCGCGGCCGAGGCAGAGGTTCAGAAGGTGCCACCTGGGGACAGGGGTGCCATCACCCATCTGAGGGCTTCCTCAGAGGCGGTGAGCATGGCCCGCGAGCGTGCCGTCTGGGTGCTGGTGGTGAGGCCCGTGTGCAGGTCTCTCGGAGACCTAGGGGCTGCTATGTCAGGAGGCAAACTGAGTGGATTGTGTCCTGGGCCGGTAGGCACATTCAGCAGCACTTGGAGCAAGAGTGAAGAGTCCCTGGCCTGCAGAGAGGGTCCCTGAGATTCACCAAGACCTGTGGGGAGTGGCGGGGTGGAGCCCCTGGGTGGGCAGGGAGGTCCCTGTCCCTGAGCCCTGGTGTCAGGGCCCTGGCAGGGAACCCCCAGGCCCTGTGGGCAGCTTGTCTGTTCCTCTTGGCGAGTGGTAGTAATTACTTTGATCAGACTGTAGAATGCTTCGTTAGCTTAAGTAACCTAGACCTGAAGCTTACTCAGAAGAAATGCGGGATGTAGCACATCCTGTTAGCGTGGCACCACAGTCGCCGTCCCCTCGGGAAGGCGCGCTCTCGTTCAGCGCGTTCTGCAGCGCCGGCCGGAGACGCACGTTCAGGCAGGTGTGTTCACGTCAAGTAGTGCTCTCTGAATTGTGCCAGTGCCGTGTGATGTTTTTTCCTAAGATTAATATAATTTGAAGCGTCCGCTTCAGCCAGAAATTCCTGTTCCTCTCCCAGGAGCCTTAGTGGGGAGGCAGTCAGGGACCGTGCGAGGCAGCGCTGTCCTTCCTCAGCCCTCGCGGCGCATCCTGAGAACCAAGACTCGGCCCGCGTGCGCGGGGCTCCTGCCCTGCCTGCTCTCGGAGACGGCGCTGTGCCTTCCAGGAGCCGCTGCTTGCGCGTCCGTCCGTGCCGGGGCTCACCGGGAGCTCTTGCCCTGCCTTTGCGGGGCTCTCCTTTCCTCTCGCAGTGGCTGACGGGCCGTGAGCCTACACCTTCAAACCTCAAGGGCGACTGTGCTGACCTTGAAACAGCCCTGTGCTTGCCTCCTACCCTGTGTCTCCCGGGAGCACGGCCGGCCCGGCTTTCCTTCGGCGCTGATGCGCGTGCCTGGGGCCCGCCGTGGGCGCTGCTCTGCTCTGTCTGCCCGGGGCCCGGGTGACAGCTCTTTGCGAGGCGCCCGCAGAACTGGCCAGGCCTGCCGCGGAGCCCGCCGCCGTCCTGTGCTCGGCGCTGTTTGCCCTCTGGGAAGTATGAGGCGATTCCCAGCGTCTGATCTGCCGCCACACCCCTGTCTGAGCCTTGTGCTTCGAGACGGATCTTTCAGTTGCCTTCCTGCTGATCATTCTAGTTCCTACCCCCACCCCCACCCCCGCTTTCTTCGGTGTGTTTCGCTGGAGCACAGAAGTGTGTTGAGCTAGGCAGGACGCGGCTGCCGGCGCTGCAGAGAACCCAGGTGGGGCGGGCAGAGCAGGCGTCTGGGATTTGCACCCTTCTGCGCTCCGTCACTCGGTGCTGCAGGTGGCACTGCTGACGAGGCCTTGGCTGGGCGCCGTGTGCTGTCTGCAGTTCTAGTCTTAAGGACTCTGCGCAGCCGGCGGGCGCTGCCCCTCAGGCCAGAGCGGCTCTGCAGTGTCCACCTTGTGCTGCGGCCGAGCTGTTTGGCCTTTAGTGCAACCAGTGGGACTTCTGTAATTCTGGAAAGCTGTGTGACTTTAAAATGAAATTGAGTCACATCTGTTAGGAACCCAGAGGACTCTATACTGTATTTAGGCCTTGCCCGAACCTTGTGTTGGACCCGTCTTTGGCACACACACCCAAATGTACCTTGTCACCACTTTGCTCTTTTTGTTTTTGAAGAGCTGCAAAGCATTTGCATCTGGGGGAGCACAGGTGTGGCTGGGTAAGTCCCTCGGCCGCCAGAGGCTGTCATGGGCAGTCCCCCGTGCCGCGGCAGCAGGGGTCAGCTGGCTGCTGACGGAGCCCTCACGGCTGTAGGCCTTGCTCCGTGTGGCTGCTGTCATTTCGGAAGTTGAACTTCAGCCAAGTTGGTTTTCCTGAGACCGTCCCATGCTCTGTTCCTGGCATCCCCTTTGTCTTCCCTGTTCGTTGGCTCCCAGCCTTGGGGTTCCCTTAGAGGGCGGGCCAGCTCCACCTGCAGCCTCTGTCCTCGGAGAGCTGGGGGAGCGCGCGCCCCTGGAAGGAGCCCTTTTACTTTCCCCTGCAGCGGTCTCCCGCCGTGCTGTTTGCCTTTCTTCCCAGCTGCTGTTTCCCTCACACCCTGTCCCTGCCCGCCTGGGCTCTCCCAGGAAGATTTACCAGGTGTCCCCTCAGGGCCGCCCGAATCCGCCCTCAAGGACTGGGCCGTTCTCCTTTAAACCAAAGTATCTGTTCTCGTGCAAGACTTTGCTTTCTTCATGAAACAGTAGCTCTGGCCGTGACGGGCGCCCGCAGCGAGCCTCCCCGGAGCAGCCGTGCCTGCGGCCGCTCTGCTCCGCGTTGTGTTGGGGATGCAGTGTTCCTCTTCAGGAGAAGCTGTGCCGGGGCTTCCCGCCTACCTAAGCATTACTGTCAGCTGCGTGGCGTCGGCAGGTGCAGACCTTGTGTAGTGTTCTTTTTGCAATGACCTCTATTTATTTAACCTATTTATATGTATTTAATTTTTACTCTGAAGTGTATCCAGTTACAATTGCACTTGCTCAAAGCATATCAGAATTGTTTTGGACAACACCCCTAACCATGTTAGAACTGGAAAAGTTACCCTGTACCCTTCCCTGAGATGGATGCCTTACAGCAAGTGGTCTTGTCCTTTAAAGGGTGAGTAATTTGGTCGGGGTAAACTGTTAATTTTTAGATTTTTTAGAAATCTCTGTGCCGTGTGTCTTCTCGGGTTAATTGTTGAATTGGTATATGTTAGTTGTGTGATACAATCCTTTTTGTCGAACCTAAAATCCTTTTTAGCTTTATATTTTATAAACTGCCAGATTGTACACCTTCTACGTGTATTTTTAAAGCTTGATGATGTGAGGGTCATTATCAGAGTTAATGGCCTATTTTTGTACCTCCTGTACAGTTTTATAATTCTGCTGATTGATCATGGCACCTTCTGAGCCAATCACAAATAAAGTAGTTTTAGATTTGGGAGTCTGTGCTTTGTTTCATCAGGAAGCCTGAGGCACCGCACCCAAACGGGTGTCTGGGTATCTGCTGTCTCCTTGTTGCTGGGGTGCTGGTGAGGCCTCTGGCAGGCCCACACACTGGGAGGACAGGGTCCTGGTGTCCACAGCAGGGCAGGGCCGGGAATATCCTCCTTGCTGGCCGTTTGGGGAAGGCTTCTTTGAAACAGCCCATGGGAGGTCCCTGAGCGTTGATGTGGGCTGACCTGCAGTGGAGTTTCAGGCTGAGATGCCTTGGAGGGGAGAAACCCCACAGAGGTAGCTCAACAAGCAGAGCAGTGGGCACACACGCTGGAGTCCCCCCTGCAGGGCCCACCAGCCCCACCAGAGCTGAACAGGGACTGCTGGGAGGCTGCCCGCCCAGACCCTGCTCCTCTCCCCCTCAGCCCCCAGGGGCCACCAGGAGCAACACTTGGACCTAGGGCCGCACCCTCCGCCAGAAGATGGTCTTGAAATGGTACAGGCCAGGAAGGAGAGCAGCCCATAGCACCCTTTGCTGCCTGAGTGGGGTCTTCCAGAGGGAGGCTGACGTGTGGAAGAGACGCTTCCTTCCCACCCCACGCTGGCGCAGGCCAGGGTTCTGTGGCCTTGCACGGGGGTCAGTGTTGGACGGCCAGGAGGATGCCTTTTCCTGAATATCTGATGCATTTCATTCATTAAACACGGCCAAAGAAACAGCACGGGCCCCGGCTGTTCCCACAGTCTGCACCATGCGCAGTCAGAGCTCACGCGAACAGCAGACCTGCCGCCTGCCTCCCAGGAGACCATACTGAAAGATGATGGGAGCTGGAGGAGCGGGGCTGGCAGGGCAGTCACTGTAAACTTGGGCTTGGACAGAGGTTCGGTGGGTGAGGCAGTAAGCCATGGCTGTCATGTTCTGCCCCTCTCCTCCAAATCCACCCTCCCCTGCCCAGCCCTATGATTTGGATGAAGGCAGTTTGTTTACAGGAGACTCAAAGCTGGAAAGAGTTAACTGTGATCGCTGTGGTTCAATGTCCCTGGAGAAGATAACACAAAGGATGGCGGGAGTCCTTCCTGGAGAGCAAGGCAGGTGAGGGGAACTCACTGGCCACAGTGACAGGTGAGATGCGGCCTATGTGCGGGCTGGGGCAGACTCCATGTCCCCTTCCAGAAATGCAGGGCTGGGGGTGGAGGGCAGGGCCGTGAGGGACTGGGAAACCTGCGCCTGTTGGAAGCGGCTTGGCTGTGCTGCCCCAGGGCCTTGCAGCTGGAATGCAGGGGAGCAGGGACCAGGAAGAAGCACTGCCTGGCAGAGGGCGCTGGGGTTTGGACGGAATCTGCAGGGGCCAGACTCCTTCTTCCTGTGGCGAGGAGCCCCCAAGGGAGCTAGCTTGGCTCCAGGCCTCTCCCTTTAGGCCCTTCAAAGACCCAGGGTAACAGAAGCAGCCCTGACTCCATCCTTGGGCCAAAAGGAGACATCCCGGCCCAAGCTCCTGTCATCCCAGGCTGGGGACTGGGGGAAGGGCCGAAGCTCTGGTGCCCAGGCCTCTCCTGGTCAGGCGGGCAGCAGTGGGCGGAGTTGGGCATCCGTGGTTTCCAGGCCCTGCACGGGGCTCTAGGGAGCTCCTGCAGAACTCAGTGGGGTGGGGGCCTGAGCCAGCAGGAGCAGAGGCCTGGCAGGGGCGGAGAGGTAGGGAGGGCAGCCAGCCATGGGTGCAGTCAGCAGGCGACAAGGGGCAGCAGGACGACACAGGCGAGGCCCTGGGTGTCTCGCTCCTCAGAGTAGGCTCTCAGCATCGTAGTAGTCTGGGGAGACAGCCCGCGAATTGTGACTCCCTCTCGCCTCACTGGACCCCGAGGAGGAAAAGGGGAGGGGCAGGCCCATTGCCCGCAGCAGCAATGGCAGGAGGCCCCCTACCCCACCCCAGGATACATGGCCCTCCTGGCCCCGACTACCCACAGGCCCTGGATTTGTGGCCTGCTCCCCACCTGAAGCTGGAGGTACATCTGCGCCCACAGTCCCTGTGGCACTGGGGGGTGGGGGTGGAGGCACGGCTCTCCTGAGATGGGAGAAAAGAAAGACCCCCATCAAAGGCCCAGGGCTGGCCTCTGGGGTTTCCCCCTCCAGCCCCAGAGCGGGAACCTGGCCACACCCAGACCCCTTCCACGCAGCCTCACTTACCCCTCCCTCTTCCCGGAGGCAGGAGGACGGTGCTGAATCCTGGGTGCATCCTGCCAGTGGTGCTGATGTGGCGGAGGGGGCAGGAGAGGGGCCGGCCAGGCTGGCAGGGGGCCCAGGGAGGGCAGTGGGCAGGGCAGGTAGTGGTGGTGGAACACCAGAGGCCTTTGGTCCTGGGCGCCCAGCTCCTCCTCCTCCAGCTCTCCCTGCTGAGCCTCTGGGAAGCCCTGGGGAGTGTGCACACCAGGGAGGGGAGACAGATGGGCTCAGGCTCCTCCCACTGCTCTGCCCTGCTCCCTAAACTACTTTCTCCAGATGGGCCTGTGCATCCACAGCAGCGTGAAAGGCGCCAGGAGACATTTGCTCCCTCTTGCAGACAGGAACACAGGGTCACTGAGGCCACCCAGCCAGTCAGTGGCAGAGCAGGGCCAGGGGGGACCAGAGGTGACTGCAGCACTGGGGCTGGGAGTCCACCCAGCTGCCCCTGGCCTCACCCGGCCCTGGACCACCTGGGCCCCATCAGTGAGGTGGGCTGCTCATCCCAAGGGCCCCTGAGGGTGTGAGGGGCCCCAGCAGCACCACCTTGAACCCCTGTCTCTTCTGTCCCCCAAGCCTCCTTTCTTCCAGTCTCTCAGGACACCCAGGGTTGGCTCAGCCTTAGAATCCCCCTCACCCCTTGGCCAGGATGGTGGACACATGCCTCAGCTCCTCCAAGGGTAAGCATCCTCCCTGGCTGTCCAGGCAGGCTCCAAGACCACCCGTTCCCCTGCACAGCACCTGACCTCAGCCCACAGCCGGCTGTGCATTTGCATTTTGTGCCACTCATGCCAGTCACAGCCCCGTGCCTCTCTGTTCAGCCAGTCCTGTATCCATCACTTGCCCAGCGAACACCTCAGTAAGCGTCAGGCACAGCCCTGGCACCTACGACCTGCTGGTGCGGGACCCAGGTCCAATGTGCCTGCGCTCCCAGGGCCTCAAGTCCAGCTGGGGTGCCCTGCAGGGAACCTCCTTGAAATCCAATCCCCGGTGGTCTGGATTTGGGGGCAAGGGCGCCCTCTCCTGGGCCCCTGGAGACCGCCACCGGGCCTGGCACACAGCAGACCCAGGCAGCAAGGTGTGGGCTGGCTTCCTGCTCCTTTTCCTCCAGGGATGACCCCCATGCATCTCACTACCGGGGCCCCAGGTGGGCGGCCTCGCTGGCCACACCGCCACGCACCTGCGGGCCGGGTGAGGCGGGCGCGGAGTCCAGCGCCCCCTCGGCCAGGCGGCAGAGCAGCAGCTGGTGCACCTGCGCGTTCTGCAACAGCAGCAGCTCCAGCAGCCCTGGGCGGGATTCAGCGAGACACCGGGTCTGCGCGCGGTCTCCCCTCCCCGCCACCCTGCGCGACCCCACCAGCCGTGCGCGAGGACTGCGAGAGAATGTGCGGGCCAAGGAGGGCGGGGGAGTGACCGGAGTCTCACCTTCCTTCACGCGGCCCGGCTGCGGCGGCTGCGGCGGGGCGGCCCACGGCGGGGGCTGCACGACGGTCACCCAGGGCTGGGGCGGGCGGTGGGGACTCAGCGGCGGCGAAGGGGTCGGGTGGACCGCCACCTCCAACCCCCCACCCCGCCGGCGCAAGGTGCCCCAACCCCGCAGGCGCCCGGCTCTGCCTTTCCCGCCCCAGGTCTTTTCCTCTGTCTAGGGTCGCTCCTCACCCCCTCCCCACCATTTCTCCCAGGGTGCAGCTCCTCCACAGGCCGCCCCCAACTCTGCCGTCCCGCCCAGCGCAGCCCTCACCGTCGGGGCAGCACCCGGTGCCGTGGTGCGACCCCAGCTCCCGCCGGCCCCGGAGGCCATGGCCCGCAGTGCTGGGTCGGGTTACCCCGGCTACACTGGCGACGCCGAGGGCTCCTGCCACGCAGGCGCGGTGCCTGTCCCGGCCCCTGGTGCCCAGGCATGGGTCCAGGTCGTACTCCGCCCTCCTCTTTTCCCGGGCTGCCGGGTCCCCAACGTCCGTCTCTACCCATGGGGCGGGGCTCCCCGGGCATCTGGCGCACACCTGCCTGCACCTGTGGCCCCTGCTCGTCCCCAGGGGGCCCGCGTTTGCTGAGTGAATGACCGATTGGCTAGAGAGGTTTGGTTTCTGAGTCGTGGAGCCTGACCTCAGCCCGTGGGCTCAGCGCGAGTGGAGAATGTGTAGGCGAGGGGGGCCCGGGACCCGCTCCCTGCCGAGAGGCGTCCTCGGGCAGAGTGGTTTCTGGGGAGACCGAGGGAGGAAACACCAGCCCATCTCCCCAGGAGTCTGGGGCCAGGAGCTCGGCGGCTCCTCGTGCCCCCTGCGGCCCTGTGCCCCCCGGTTCCCGGCCGCGGTCACTGCTGCTCCGAGGCCGGAGGCTGGGGGTTCAGCCGCAGCACCCTCAGCGCCGGCCCTCGGACTGGAAAGTTCCCGAAGCCGGCATTCTTCTGGGCGGAAGCTCGCCAGCTCGGCATTGCTTAGGAACAGGTGAGCGGGAGATCCGTTTCCGCAGCTGTGGCCGTCCTAAGATAGGCCCTGAGCAGCAGGCAGGGAGAATCCGGACAGGAAGCTGGGATTAGCACCCCGAGTCGCCCGCCCCCACCCCCTCTCCGGTCAACTCCGCTTCCTGGCATCCTGGACCAGAAAGCCCTCTCCTAGCTCCTCAGGGCTCCTTCCACCCTGGCTGCAGGGCAGGGCCTGTGGCGGGCATGAGCCGTCCCCGGGCGCCGGGGCTTAGCCTTGGACAGCGTGGGCAAGCTGAGATGCGGGCCTGTGTGGCAGGCAGGCCCGCGGTGAGTGGCACAGAGAAGTGTGTCTCTCTGGGTGCACCCTCAGTCCAGGTAGCAAGAGGAAGGAGACCAACCAGTGTGCGTTGTGCTCCCCCCACCCAGCGCCCCCAACAAACCTCTGCCAGGGAAGAGCCCGCGTGGAAGCTGCCCGCTCATCCGTGGGGACACAGCATTGTGATGGGGATTTATCTGGTGTCTGGTGTGGCCCAGGCTGTGCGATGCCCTCAGCGCTGCCCAGGTAGCCGGAGCTTCATGGACCTCAGCCAGGGAAGCGCCTCCTGTAGCCTTACACCTCCGGCTGATGTAGAAGTGGTCCCCGCCTCATTCATGCGTCTCCCTTGCTGGGAGACTGAGGAGGGATATACCGTACCTCCCTCGTCAGCAATCCCGTCTGTTAGCTTTTCCAGAGTTCTTCAATTTTGCAAAAAATTTGTCTATCTGAAAGGCAGAGTGACAGTCATCTTCCATCTGCTGGTCACTCCCCAAGTGGCCACACACAAGCCTGGAGTATGGACCTTCATCCACGTCTCCCACATGGGTGGCAGGGGCCCAAGCACTTGGGGTGTCTTCTGCTGCTTTCCCAGGTGGGTTGGGAGGGAGTCGGATCAGAAGCAGAGCAGCTGGGAAACTGAACCAGCAATTACTGGGTGCCAACATTCCAAGGGGCGGCTTAGCCCACTGTGTTGTTGAAACCCAATTCAATGCATGTGCCTAGCCTCCACGTGTGGCAATTCCCTCCAGTTACTCCAATCCTTTCATCAGAGAATCTTACCCAACAGAGCTTTAGGCAGAGGTGTAAATGGGAATCAGTCAGGATACCGCTGGGGACTCTCACATGCCACACCAGAGCGCCTGGGTTTGAGTCCTGGCTCTGTTCCCATCCAGCTTCCCATTAGTGCACACCCTGGGAGGAGCAGGTGATGGCTCAGTACTTGGTCCCCTGTCCCCCACATGGGAGACCTGAATGGAGGTCCTGGCTCCTGGCTGTTTTGCAGTTAGGGAATAAACTAGTGTACTGAAGTTTTCTGTCTCTGTCCTTCTCAGCCTTACAAATAATTTTATATATTTTTTTTAATTTTAATGGAAATGGCAGCTGGCTCCCACCCCCTCTCCTCCAGTGCCAGCAGAAAAGGAGCAGTGTGAAATCAGGGGATATGGACCAGCAGCAGGGTGACCTGGAGCCCCTGCAGGGCTGGCAGCGATGAGAGGGACCCTGAGAAGCCGCTTTGGGAGACAGTTCAGGAAGGTGGAGAGGAAATGTTTGCTTTTCCTCATGATGCTGGAACAAGCAGGCCCCTGCAAGGAGATGGTAGAGGTAGGCAAAGGTGGTGTGGTGGGCAGATGCTTGCAAGTCATGAACCTCCAAGGGGAACACTTAGAAAGGTCAAGGATGGGGCTGGCATAGTGGTGCAACATGTTAAACAGCCACCTGTGACACAGGCATCCCGTATGCGCACCTGTTCAGTTCCCAGCTGCTCCATTTCCCATCCAGTTCCCTGCTAATGTGCCTGGGAAGGCAGCAGAATGTGGCCCAAGTGCTTGGGCCCCTGCCACCCATGTGGGAGACCCAGATGGAGTTCTAGGCACCTGGCTTCAGCCTGGCCTGGCCCTAGCCATTGTGGCCACTTAGGGAATGATCCAGTGAATGGACAATCTCTGTCTTCCTCCCTCCCTCCCTCTGTAACGCTGCCTTTCAAATAATTAAATAAGTCTTAATAATAATAATAATAATAATAATAATAAATGGTCGGTGAGCAAAGCAGGAAGAAGATGTGTCCCTGAGAGAGCAGCAATGCTCACATCTAGTAGGAAACTCACCTGTGGGGCAGGCGTTTACACAGATCAAGACATCCACATCCACAACAGAGTCCCTGGGGTTGATTCCTGAGTCCTGCTCCTGAACCCAGCTTCCTGCTAATGTTGACCCTGAGAGGCATCAGTGATGACTCAAGTAGTCGGGCCTTACCACCCATGTGGGAGACCTGGATTGAGTTCTGGGCTCTGGCTTCAGGCTGGTGCCCCAGACCATTATGTTGGCATTTGAGGGGTGAGCCAGTGGATGGAAGATCTCTGTTATCCTACCTCTCCTTCTCAAATAAAAATACATGTTTAAAAAAGTCAGGGGCCTGTAGCGTAGTGGGTAAAGCCGCCGCCTGCAGTGCTAGCATCCCATGTGGGTGCCAGTTTGGGTCCCAGCTGCTCCACTTCTGATCTAGCTCTCTGCTATGGCATGGGAAAGCAGAAGAAGATGGCCCAACCTTGGGCCCCTACACCTGCATGGGAGACCAGGAAGAGGCTCCTGTCTTTGGATCAGTGCAGCTCTGGCCATTGCGGCCAACTGGGGAGTGAACCAACGGATGGAATACCTCTCTCTCTCTCTGCCTCTCATTCTCTCTGTGTAACTCTGACTTTCAAATAAATAAATCTTTAAAAAAAATAAAGTCAATGAAGTTGGGGTCATGATGAAGGCTCAGGAAGACCTTGCGTATAAGGCTACCATGACAGGCGGGATGGATGTAGGGAACTATGAGGAAGGACCGTTCTTACAAGAAGGTGAAGGTGCCATTGTAGGTGCTGGACTCTGGCACAGGCACTCAGCGAGACCAGGACATGGCAGTGTCTCACGTCCGCAGGTACAGAGCTCACAAATGGTGGTGTTCCTTTTGCACAGTTGAGCTGTGTAAGTGTCTGATTCAAAGGCTGAACTGTGCCTGTAGTTAAGTTTGGGTGCTGAGCATGAACCTGGCCTGGCTGTAGAGCTGTAGTCGTCTTCGGGGCTGTAGGGTGTTCAGCTTCTATAGTGGCTCCTGGTGTTTTGGTCAGCTTCAGCTTCAAAGGCTGAACTGTGACACTGGGCAGATGCTGAACTTGATCCGGAGCCAGTGTTGGAACTGTCATCCCATAATACACTGGGGGTTGAATTACAACCACCTTATATGGTTCAGGAAGCTGAGCTAGGGTCTCCTGCATGGTTGTAGCGGTTTAAATTATACACTAGGTTGTGGAGTTAAGGTAATTTCCGGGTCCAGGTTTAGATGCTGAGTCTGGATCTAGTCTGGGTATGGAAGTCATCTCTGGGTACATCACATATAGAACTGCAGACTTCACAGCTGTAGAATGTGTCTATACTAAGCAAAGGGGCTTTGGTAAGTTCCAGCTTCAAAAGTTGAACTGTTACATTGGGAAATTTGGATGCTAAGTTTGATCTTGATTTGGTGTTAGAACTGTCACCTCATTAATACACCAGAGGCGGAGCTACAATCTTTTTAGGTGGCTCTAGAGGCTGATCTGGGCTATCCTACATGACTGGAGGTTGTTCAATGTCCATATTCGATTATGAAGTGAAGGTAAGTTCTAGGTCAAAAGGTTGAACTCTGACTTCATTTAGGTTTGGACAGGAAAGCGTTGCCTCAGAGTGCACTGGAGGAGGTTCTGTAGTCTTCTTCAGGGCTGAACAATGTTCAGCCTCCATAGTAAGTTTTGGTTATGGTAAGCACTCGGTCCAAAGACTATACAGTGATGTTGGGCAATGCTGGGTGTTGAGCTTGATCCTGACCTGGTGTTCTAACTGTCCCCTCTTGGTACAGAGTGGAGGTTGCCTTAGGAGTCTGATTTGGAGTCTCCTGAGTGGTCAGAGAGGATTCAAACACCGTACAGGGTTCTGAAGCTATGGTAAGTTCCAAGTCCAAATGTTGAACTGTGACTTGAGTCGATTTGGATGCCAGGTCTGAATCTTGTCTGGATTTGGAGCTGTAGTTGTCTTCAGGGCTGTAGAATGTTCAGACTCTGTAGTAGGTCTTGGAGTAATGGTGGGTGCAGGGTTGGTGCTGTGGCATAGCAGGTAAAGCCACTGCCTGCACTGCTGGCATCCCATATGGGCACCGGGTTGAGTCCTGGCTGCCCCACTTCTGATCCAGCTCTCTGCTATGGCCTGGAAAGCCATGGAAGATGGCCCAAGTCCTTGGGCCCCTACATGCACATGGGAGTCCCAGAAGAATATATTTATATATTGGTAGATGCTAGGTCCAAAGGTTGATCTGCGACATTGGATGACACTGGAGACAGAGCTTCATCCTGACCTGGTGTTGGAACATAATACACTGGAGGCTGAGCTACAATCTCTCTCTTTTTTAAAGATTTACTTACTTATTTGAAAGAGTTACACAGAGAGAGAATGAGAGGCAAAGAGAGAGAGAGAGAGATCTTCCAACCTCTCGATCACTCCCCAATTGGCTGTAATGGCTAGAGCTGAGCCAATCCAAAGCCAGGAGCCAGGAGCTTCTTCCAGGTCTCCCATGTGGATGCAGGGGCCCAAGGACTTGGGCCATCTTCCACTGCTTTCCCAGGCCATAGCAGAGAGCTGGATCGAAAGTGGAGCAGCCAGGACTCGAAATATGGGAAGCCAGTACTGCAGGCCGTGGCTTTACCCGCTATGCCACACTGCCAGCCCCAAGCTACAACCTCTTTAGGTGGCTCTGCAAGCTGAGTTTGAGTCTCCTGCATGTTTGGAGAAGGTTCAATCTCTTCACTGGGTTCTGGGGTTATGATAAGTCCCAGGTCCAGATGTTGAACTGTGCCTTGAGTCTGGTTTGGATGTTGAGTCTGAACCTGGCCAGGGGATGGAAGTGTCACCGCAGGGTGTTTTGGAGGAAACATGGTCTTCTTCAGAGTGACAGAATGTTCAGCCTCCATAGTGGGTTCTGGAGGAATAGTAAGCTCCAGGTCCAAAGGTCTGTGTGTGATGTTGGGTGACATTGGATACTGAGCTTGATTCTGACCTGGTGTTTGAACTGTCACCTCCTGATATAGAGGAAATTGAGGTACAACTCCCTTAGGTGGCTCTAGAGATTGAACTGGGGTCTCCTGCTTGGTTGAGAAAGTTCAACGTCCTCAGTGAGTTATGAGGTTAGGGTAAATTCCAGGTCTAAGGGTTGAAATGTAATGCTGGGGCGCCAGCGCCATGGCTCACTTGGCTAATCCTCCGCCTGCAGCACCAGCACCCCAGGTTTTAGTCCTGGTTGCTCCTCTTCCAGTCCAGCTCTCTGCTGTGGCCCGGGAGGGCAGTGGAGGATGGCCCAGGTGCTTGGGTCCCTGCATCCGCATGGGAGAACGGGCCCAGCAAAGGGTCCCTAGTGCAGATCGGCGCAGCGCCAGCTGTAGCAGCCATTAGGGGAGTGAACCAACGGAAGGAAGACCTTCCTCTCTCTCTCTCTCTTTTTTTTTTTTTTTTTGACAGGCAGAGTGGACAGTGAGAGAGAGACAGAGAGAAAGGTCTTCCTTTGCCGTTGGTTCATCCTCCAATGGCTGCCGCTGCTGGCGTGCTGCGGCCAGCACACTGCACTGATCCACAGGCAGGAGCCAGGTGCTTCTCCTGGTCTCCCATGGGGTGCAGGGCCCAAGCACTTGGGCCATCCTATACTGCACTCCTGGGCCACAGCAGAGAGCTGGACTGGAAGAGGAGCAACCGGGACAGAATCTGGTGCCCCGACCGGGACTAGAACCCGGTGTGCCAGCGTCGCAGGAGGAGGATTAGCCTATTGAGCTGCAGTGCCAGCCTATAACTCTCTCTCTCTCACTGTCTAACTCTGCCTGGCAAAAAAAATTAAAATTAAAAAAATTAAAAAAAAAAGAAATGTAATGCTGGGTAACTCCAAATATGGAGCTTGATCCTAAGCTGATGTTGGAATTCTCACCTCCTGATATATTGGGGTTTTGAGCTGCAACCTCCTACGTGCCTCCAGAAGCTGAACAGGGGTCACTTGTTGAGCTGGACAAAGTTCAGCTGGGGCCTTTTCTGGGTTAAAGATTCCACCACCTCAGTGAGCTCTGTAGTCTGAGCTGAGTGCTCTTGTGTGAAGAGATTTCAACCTTATTAGATGGTTCTAAAGGCAGAGCTAAGGGCTACTTGGTGGGTTAGGGAGGGTTGCTCCAGCAGTAGAAGATGGCCCAAGGCCTTAGGCCCCTGCACCTGCATGGGAGACCCAGAAGAAGCTCTTGGCTCCTGGCTTCGGATCAGTGCAGCTCCGGCCACTGCCACCAATTGGGGAGTGAACATCGGATGGAAGACCTCTCTCTCTCTCTCTGCCTCTCCTGTGTAACTCTTTCAAGTAAATAAATCTTTTAAAAAAAAAAAAAAAAGTCAGTGAGGTTGGGGACATGAGGAAGGCTCAGGAAGACCGTGAGGATAAGGCTACCACGACAGGCAGAATGTAGGGAACTATGAGCTACTAGCTGAACTGGAGGTTTATGTACTCAGATGGCTTTGCAGGCTGCACTGGGGCTTCTAGAATGTTCAGTCTCCTCAGGAGACTCAGAATGTTGAACTGGCTATTTCTGCCCAGTGGAGGAAGGCACAGTGTCCCGAAGAGTGCCTGGAGGGGCTGGCGCTGTGGTGTAGTGCGTGGGGCTGCTGCCTGTGGTGCTGGTATCCCACATGGGCACTGGTTCGGGTCCTGGCTGCTCCACTTCCGATCTAGCTCTCTGATTTGGCCTGGGAAAGCAGTGGAAGACAGCCCAGGTCCTTGGGCCCTTGCACCTGCGTGGGAGATCTGGAAGAGGCTCTTGGCTTTGGATCAGTGCAGCTCTGGCCACTGCAGCCATCTGGGGAGTGAGCCAACGGATGGAAGATCCCCCCCACCCCCGCCTCTCCTTCTCTCTCTCTGTAACTCTTTCAAGTAAATAAATAAATCTCTCTCTTAAAAAAAAATGCCTGTAGGCTGACCTAGGCCTCTTGCTGAAATGGAGAAATTTCAACCTCCTTGAAGGTTCTGAAGTTTTGCCACGTTCCACATCTGCTGGCTTACTTATAATGCTGCGCAAGATATAACGATGAACCTGATCCTGACTTGGAGGTTGGAATGTCACCTCGAGATTTGGTGGAGTTTGAGTTGTACTCTCCAAAGGGAATTCTGGAGTTGGAGCTGTGACCTAGTCCTGGGCCAGAGGTTTGTTCTCCTGATGGGGCATTGCAATGTGTGCTGGGGTTTCCAGCTGACTTCCAGAAGGTTCCGTTTCCTCAGAAGACAAAGCTGAATTGGGCACTCCTGCTGAGAGAGGGTTCAGTGTTGACAGGAGGGCCTGGAGTCAGAGTGGGGTCCCCTGTTGAGTTGGAAATAACTTAACTTCCTTAGTAGGCTGTGGTGTTATGGTAATTTCCACACCCACAGGTTTGACTACAACGGTGTGCAGGTGGTTATAATGGCCCTGGTCCCAAGCTGGAGGCTGACCGGTCACCTCATGCCCAGTGGAGTTTGATATACTCTGATAGGGGACTCCTGGCTTGGGCTATGGCCTTTTGCTAGATTAGAGGTTTGACTTCCTACTGTACTTTGCAGGCTGTTGTGGGGCTTCCAGTTTTCTCAGGAGACTCAGAAGGTTGAGCTGGCTGCTCCTGCTCCCTGTGAGGTTCAGTGTCCACAGCAGGGCCAGGAGGCTGAGCTGGGGCTTCCTGCTGGTCTGGAGAAGATTCAGCCTCCTCAGGAGACTCCGCATACTGAGGCGGTTGCTCCTGTTCAGTGAAAGATTCTGTGTCCCCAGGATGGCCTGGCGTTTGAACAAGGGCCTTATGCTAGGCTGGAAATGACTCAACCTCTTGGTAGGCTCTGGTGGCATCCACATCTGTAGGTTTTATTTTTTACTATTGGACAGGTTATGACGATGAGCTTGATCCTGACCTGGAACTTGGATGTCAGCTAATGACTCGATGGAGTTTGAGCTGTACTGTCTATAGGGGACTCTGGAATTTGAACTGGGGACCCTTTGCTGGGCTGGAGGTTCAACTTCCTCAGGGGGCTTTGCAGGCTATATCAGAGCGTCCACTTGGCTTCTTCAAAGTTCAGTCTCCTCAGATTATGCAGAAGGTTGATGTGACTGCTCCTACTCACTGTGGGAAGTTCAGTGTCCACACGAGGGCCTGTATTCCAACTCAAGCCTTCCTGCTGGGCTGGACAAAGTTCATCCTTGGGAGACTCGGCATACGGAGCGGGCTGTTCCTGTTCTCAGGAAGAGTGTGGGAGCCTCTCGCTGAGCTTCGGAAGTTTCAGCATCCTTGGCAGGCTCTGAAGTTATTATAACTTCCACATCTACAGCCACAGTCCTTACACTGCACAAGCTATAATGATGATCCTGCACTGGGGACCGAACTGTCGCCTCATGAGTTGGTGACTTTCTCCACAGGAGATTCTGGAGCTTGAGCTGGGACCTCTAGCTAGACTAGAAATTTTAATTCCTCAGCAAGCTTTTCAGGTGGTTTCGAGCTAGTTTCCAGAAGGTTCAGTCCCCCCAGGAGACTCAGAAGGTTGAACTGGCTGTTCCTGCTCACTGGGATAAGCGTCAGTGTCCACAGGAGGGTCTAGAGTTTGAGCCTGGGTCTCCTGCCGAGCTGAAAGTTCAACCTCTTTTGTAGGCTTTGAAGTTATGGTAACTTCCACACTGGCAGGCATAACTGAAACAGCGGGCAAGGTACGATGACGACGAGCTTGATCCTCAGAGACCAAGCTGCTCCGGCATGACTCGGCGGAGGCTGAGCTGTACTACCCATATCAGATTCGGTGGAGATGGAACCTCCTGCGAGAGTGGAGGCTCAGCTTCCTCAGGACACTTCCTAGGCTGCACTGGGCTTCTGCTTGGTTTCCAGAGGATCCAGTCTCCTCAAAAGACACTGAAGGTTGAGCTAAGGCCTCCTGCGGGACTGCAGGTGATTTCTCCTGCTAAACAGACTATGAAGGCTGAGTCAGGCCGCTTGTGTTGAGGAAGGCTCAGCATTCTCAGGGAGCTCTAGAGGCTGACTGGGGCCGGCTGCAGGTCTGGAGGAGGCTGGAGCCCCATATTTGCACTTTTAACTGCAACACTGGGCAAATCTGAGGGGACAGCTTCATTTTGACTTGGGAGATGGGGCATTTACCTCATGATGGGCACTGAAGGTGGACCTACAACTTCTTCAGTAGCTGTAAATAGTGAGCTGTGGCCTCCTCCTGGGTTGGAGAGCTTACCCCACTGCCTCCCGTGAGCGGCGAGGACTGAGCTGGGCCTTCTTGCTGGGTGAGGACTGGACCTCTTCCAGCGTCTCCAGACTTTGCGTTTGGCCCTATAGCTGGAATTGAGGTGGTTCCATTTGCTCAGAGGCGTCCAAGGGGACTCCCCTGGGTTCTCTAGAATTTCAAGGTAATCTGCCAGCACAAACTCTATCCATCCTTGGATGTATACAATCATCCCACAAAATCTGCTTTTGAAGCAGTCTTTGTAAATGGGTCTGGCGTTCCAACAAGAACCTCAGCAAGTCACTGGTGCTGAGCCAGAACAATATGAATTTTGCTGCTTTTGAACCCCACCTAGAGGTGGAACAAGTGTGTCAGGTGACTGACGCCCCGGAGCCTGATCCAGGGCTGCAGTTTGAGTCCAGGAAGCAGAGCTCCAGTCTGATTCAGATTCCCATCCAGCACTGGACCCACCTTTGGGTCCCCCCCTCTGGGGGTCACTGTTTCCGGGTTAGCCTGTCCTTGAGAACCTGACAGGAAACAGGAAGTTGATGGGGGGGGGGAGGGCTTGTGAGCTGAATACCAACCACGTCCGGAGTAAAGAACCAAACTCACAGTGGACCCTGAGGTAGGGCCAACACCTCGGAAGGAGTAAGGGGCCCCCTGGTCTGCTGGGCTCACGAAGCCATCGGGCTTAAGGTTGGAATCCCGAGTGAGGGTGCGGCAGGAAGGAGAGGCGAGACCCGCCCCGCCCCGCCGCCCCTGCGCTGCCCTCCTAACTCACCCAGGGGAGCGCAGGGCCAGGCGCGGGGTATTTTCGTCCAGCGCTGCCCGACAGTTCGGTACCCAGCCTGCGGCCTCTGCTCACCGGCATCAGGAAGTGGCGTCCGCGGCGCCCGACGCGGTCACGCTAGCTGTCCTCTGGCCCCGCCCCCCAGCCCGCGGAGCCAATCGCAGGTCCCCAAGGAGCGCGAGGAGGGACGAACGGCTCTCATAGGCTCAAGCCCCAAGATAAGCAGCTCGCGGGCGGGAAATCAGGGGACTCGCTCTGTGCCGCCGGCTCCTGCTGGTCGGCGTCCCGCTGGATCCTGGCTTCCGGGTTCCTGCCCTCGCTTGGCCTCAGCACCATCTGC